TGGGTAGAAGGACGTATTTCTAAACTGTGTGGAAAGTCCATGTACGAGGTTGAAACTACCTCTGGAGTCGTTTGGCGTCGACATGCCAACCAGCTTCGTGCTCGATTCGTTCGAGACGTGCTCGATGATATCTTGGAAGAGTTCGATCTTGCCAGCGATGATAAAGTCAATGTGCAGGACACTGCTCCACCTCTTGACAAGCCTCTCGAGAAGTCAGCCGCATCATCCGCCACAACTCCTACATTGATTCCCCTTGCACCTGTTCCGAATGTTCCCCATCCCACTGCTCACCGGCCGACAACACCAACCAAGTCGCCAACAAAGTCGCATCCACCATCACCGGCAAGATCACCAGCCGTGCCGCGACGACCTCAGTTGAACTGCTCCGAAATCGTTGCTCAACACCCGCAAATTGAACAACTCGATGACGTTGTTCCACAACCGCCAGGACGCAACGACGAACCTGAAGTTCGTCCAACAAGATCAAGCACAACCTGTGAAGAAGACAAAGAAGACTGATGCTCTTGGACCGATCCTTCACCACAAGCGCATCCGGAAGCCGCCGTCGCGATATCAAGATTGAAGTGCCGTCAACGTCGTCTCCATCAAGCTCAACTTCATCACCGAGTCAAGCTCTTCATTCAAGGAGGAAGATGTTGCGGAAGCAAGAAAGAAAGTCTTTGATTGAATTACGCAATGCCAGTACGGCGCACCCCTATCCCCCTCGCCCTGTGTGCGCCCTCCCCGTCCCCGGCACAAACCCCTTTTTTTGTGCGTGTCTTTCATTCTTTCCACTCCGCCCGTCTTGTCTGGCTGCTTGTATTATTTTAGGCTATTGCCGTTATCGTAAATAAACTTTGTTCTCTCTTCTTTCGTCCAAATCAATTCAGGTGTCAAACGACTCTCTCGCAAGGTATCCCCTTGGATTGAGCCAGCACTCAAGAACTCACGCACACCCACACCTACAACAAGGGTATTCTAGCCATTACGCGTTTCTTATAGGTTTTTAGCAACTAAGAAGGGGAGATGAGTTTCTTTCAAGGGTATTCTAGCCATTACGCGTTTCTTATAGGTTTTTTTTAGTAACTAAGAAGGGGAGATGAGTTTCTTTCAAGGGTATTCTAGCCATTACGCGTTTCTTATAGGTTTTTTTAGAATCAAAGAAGGGGAAATAACTTTCTTTCAAGGGTATTCTAGCCATTACGCGTTTCTTAGATGTTTGTTTAGAATCAAAGAAGGGGAGATGAGTTTCTTTCAAGGGTATTCTAGCCATTACGCGTTTCTTAGATGTTTGTTTAGAATCAAAGAAGGGAGATGAGTTTCTTTCAAGGGTATTCTAGCCATTACGCGTTTCTTATAGGTTTTTTTAGTAACTAAGAAGGGGAGATGAGTTTCTTTCAAGGGTATTCTAGCCATTACGCGTTTCTTATAGGTTTTTTAGTAACTAAGAAGGGAGATGAGTTTCTTTCAAGGGTATTCTAGCCATTACGCGTTTCTTATAGGTTTTTTTAGTAACTAAGAAGGGGAGATGAGTTTCTTTCAAGGGTATTCCTAGCCATTACGCGTTTCTTATAGGTTTTTTTAGTAACTAAGAAGGGGAGATGAGTTTCTTTCAAGGGTATTCTAGCCATTACGCGTTTCATATAGGTTTTTTTAGTAACTAAGAAGGGGAGATGAGTTTCTTTCAAGGGTATTCTAGCCATTACGCGTTTCTTAGATGTTTTTTTAGTAACTAAGAAGGGGAGATCGGTTTCTTTCAAGGGTATTCTAGCCATTACGCGTTTCTTATAGGTTTTTTTAGTAACTAAGAAGGGGGGATGAGTTTCTTTCAAGGGTATTCTAGCCATTACGCGTTTCTTAGATGTTTGTTTAGAATCAAAGAAGGGGAGATGAGTTTCTTTCAAGGGTATTCTAGCCATTACGCGTTTCTTATAGGTTTTTTTAGTAACTAAGAAGGGGAGATGAGTTTCTTTCAAGGGTATTCTAGCCTTTACGCGTTTCTTATAGGTTTTTTTAGTAACTAAGAAGGGGAGATGAGTTTCTTTCAAGGGTATTCTAGCCATTACGCGTTTCTTATAGGTTTTTTAGTAACTAAGAAGGGGAGATGAGTTTCTTTCAAGGGTATTCTCGCCATTACGCGTTTCTTAGATGTTTTTAGTAACTAAGAAGGGAGATGAGTTTCTTTCAAGGGTATTCTAGCCATTACGCGTTTCTTAGAGGTTTTTTAGCATCAAAGAAGGGGAAATAAGTTTCTTTCAAGGGTATTCTAGCCATTACGCGTTTCTTAGATGTTTTTTAGCATCAAAGAAGGGATACAACCTTTTTTTCACAGAGAATTCTGGCCATTTCGGCAATTCTGAGATGTTTTTGGTATCAATGAAGGGAATTCACGTTGTTTCAAGGTCATTCTAGCCATTACAACTTTCTTCTATGTTTTTTATTTTTATAGAAGGTTATAGCTTTGCTTCTAGGGGTGTGCTCACCATTACACTTCCCTTCTATTTTTTGTTTAGGATCAGCTACGGCTGTTCGGGGGTTTCTTTCAGGGGGAAGAGGAGGAGTGGAAGGTTCTTTGGGTTTCGAGGAGGTGTATAGGTAGATCACGGAAGGTATCCGCGCCAAGCGGGAAATATACTAAAGAGGATGAGAGGCGCCCTGTATTGCCTTGCCCCCGGGAGGGCCAGTCGATAGCAGCCGCGAAGCGCTGTTATCGACTGTTTCTAACTATTAAGTTACTAGGTAGCTCTGGAGATTTACGAGTCACTTTTTTTTCTCCCCTTTTTCCATTCTCTGGTCTGGAAATGTGCACGGGATCCCGTAAAATCCCACGTTTGTGCACGGGATCGCCTGAAATCCCGCGTAATCCCGCGTTTTGCGCACGGGATCCCGCGAGCCGAATTTGCGCAGGGATCCGTGATTTGGGCGCGGGATCCCGCGGGATCCCCGCGCAGATGACGGGATCCCGTGGGCATCTGCGGGCCCAGTCTACGCACGGGATCCCGCACCCAAATCACGGGATCCGGTGCGCGCGGTTATAGTTTGTACACGAAATCTCAAGCACGATCGATCGAAAGCATTCTTATCATTTTTTTTATTTTTAACGCTATGTTTAGATGCTAGAAATTAAAACAAAATATCTATGTACGGACGCCGACGGCATGAGGTAGGTCACCAGGTATGTGGATTTCCTTCAATGATCTGCTTTTGGCGGACGGATAAGATTGATTGCTTCTTTTTTTGATTTTTGGATTCTGAGTTAATTATCTGGTTTAGCATGATGCTGCGATCAAGGACCAATGACTTCCAGGTGGGTGAACGCAAATGATGGAATAGATGATTTAGATTTTCGTCGACACAACGCTAGTAATCATTTGAATTCTAATTCTATGAAACTTAAGCTACTGGGCGTCTCTACGATCCTGCTCGGCCACTATGAAAACTTCAAAGCTTTCCTTTTGACTTTTCCTTTACTATGCAACTTATCATCTTTATTGCGAACCAACCGTATCCTAAAGATTTTGTGTATGTGTTATGCTTCTTGTTTCTGCCTCTTTTTTCATGGGATTTTTTGCAGCAATAAAGTAATTTTATATATCTTCAAGGTTGTTTTACAAGTACATAGCGTAAAGAACCTAAATCAAATAGGTAAGAGCTGGAATACAAGCTAATTAAAAATAAAACAAACCAACGCGATCCCATCGAATCCCTACATTTACACACGGGATCCCCTGTTCTGCGCACGGGATCCCGTGGGGTCCCGCGGAATCCCGCATGTTGCGCACGGGATCCCGTGGGATCCCGCGGAATCCCGCATATTGCGCAGGGGATCGCACGGGATCCCGCGGGTAAAACGTGCGACGTCCCGCGGGTAAATCGCGGGATCCCGTGCACATTTCCAGACCAGAGTTTCCACTTCCCCTGCCTACCATTTTCATCGTAGGAAATCGATCTATACTGCTAGTGTGCTCCTCCCATTTCTTTTCCAGCCGGTTGGTGTCTGTGCCCATTTCTCTCCGCGTCGATGTCTCTACACCTCATCGGCCACTCTCCCAGGGGCCGCGATCAGCTGATCCTTGGGCATGGCGGGAGAGAGAGAGACGATGAGAGAGCGAGAGGTGCAGGGAAATAAAGAGAGAAATTTCCCCATCCACAAGCCACACCACCCACACTTGCCTGCGTTAAACTTTTTTTTTGGCGGGAGAGGAGAGACTAGTCAGTCTGGTCTAGCGGGGTGTAAAAAGGGTGGTTCCTGTACGGGCAAATATTAATACTAACGTAATAGCAATTATTTTCATAGTTAGTTTCGCTCTTTTGAAGAACCTTAGAACCCTAAAATTTTTTCGGTGGTTTTTCGGCCATTTTTTTGCGAGAAAATCGAAATTTCAATGTCTCACTCACGCTGACTCTCTCTTTCTTTCTCTTTCTCTCTCTCTCTCTCTCTCTCTCTCTCTATCGTTTTTGATCAATTACTGCTAAACAACAAAAATTTTCCGGCATCGAAAGGTAGGCACCGCGGTGTTTACCCCCAAAACAACTTCTGCAGCCCGAATTGGTTGGGCGCAGCTAGCTGTAGTTTATTGCTTGGTGCCAGCCGGAAATCTCGGTGGAAACGCGTAACCTAGCAATTTGATTGCCGTGTGAAATCACGGCCTTATATTTTCGAAACAACTTGTCTACTTCGAGAACGTCTGGGCCGGAAAGCTGGTGCTCCTTTGGGGGTCGTGATCACTTTTTCTTCTCTTCCCCTCCCTCCCCCAGCTGCTCGCTCGATAAAATCTCAGTTTTCACAAAAAGTGGCGGGAAATCCCGGGATTTTCACCGGGATAGTTTCATTGTTGAAGAAAATACTTGCTCATTTGGCCGTGAACAGTGTTTTTGAAGTTTACCCTTGGTTTTTAAAAATACTGAACAACTTTTTGCCGTTATTTATCTTGTTTACAGTCTTCTATTTCCGTAAAACTGTTTTCCTTTTTAGAAATAACTGATAATCATTTTAGAAAATGGATTGCGGTGTGTGCATTTTGCTCGGGCTACTCGCCATCCTCTTCGCCTGGATCGCCATGAAATTCTACAAGAGCGGGCTGATGAGCAAAGTTGAGGTAGTGTTTTTATGTAATCACTAAACCTAATTATTTTAGGTGATCACCACCGACAAGCCGACGTTCCTCCAAAAACATTTGGTCGTCTACTACAAGCACGTCATCGGGCACTACAAGGTCGGAAATTCTGTTCGGAATTCATACGATTTTTCAGAAGTCGGGCGCTATTATGGAGGAGGCGCGCGGCCTGTTGCCGGCCGGGGCCACCACCTTTGGGATCTACTATGATGATCCGGATCAGGTAAGCATCATTTTGCAAAAAAAAAATTAAGTTTTTTAGATTTCCGAGCAATTCCTCCAATCGGCTGCCGGTGCTGTTTACTCGGGTAAGCCGGTTTTAGCGCTATTTCACTGTATGAAGTTAATTTACAAGATAAGATTATTAGGATCTTTGGCATTATCGGGGAGAATTTTTTGGAAATTCCACTAATGCCGAGTAGCTTAGTAGCACGTAATAGCTTTTTAGTGAACTTGCACTATATTTTGTGGAGAACCAACCTAAGAACTTAAAAAAATTGTTTATATTGGAAATTTTGGTGGATAAAATTATATTTTTGTATTTTTGAACAAAAATTTTGTGCAGGTTTGGCATTTAGGCATATAAAAAAAAAACTAAAAAAACCGTTTAACAACCCTTCCTCCGTTTTTATTAGTAAAATGGTTTACTAGAATACGATATGGGTTTAATTTACAAGATTTTGAAAATGTTTTTTTTTTAGTTGGCGACGAGAAGCTCTTCCCGGAAAATTACACGGAACAGCTGACGCGGTACGTTTTGATAGCTTCGCGAGCACGAACTTCCTTAGTTGGGGCTACGAAAAGATGACGCTCCCCATCGTGGAGAAGGCCGTCGAGACGAAGCAGCCCTTCGACGGTTTCCTCTCCCTGATCGCCCTCGTCAACAACACATACACCAGCATTAAGGATTACGTGAAGGTTCGGATTTTTCAATACGGTTTTCTGGTTTCCTAGCAATCAAAAGTTAGCTAGGCATTTCATTTCCTTATTTGCGTGTGTCCGGCTAAATGGCAAAACTTTCAGGATCACCGTCTGGAGACGACCACCGTCGTCGAGATCTACACGAGCAACCAGGTACACGTGCTCCTTCCCCTCGACCACTCCAACGAGTTCTTGGTGCCCGAGGTTTGTCTTTTAGCAGATTATACGTATCTGAAACGCGTTTTAGTACACAACCGTCGAGGAGCTCGAGTCGCGCCAGGCCCGGAAGCGCTTTGACTCGGATGAGGTAGATTTTCGGGATTTCGCCCCATTAGTCATAAAACCATTAGTCATAAACCCATTAGTCATAAAACCATTAGTCATAAATTCCATTAGTCATAAACCCATTAGTCATAAATTCCATTAGTCATAAACCCATTAGTCATAAATCCAATAGTCATAAATCCCATTAGTCATAAATCCAATAGTCATAAATTCCATTAGTCATAAATCCATTAGTCATAAATTCCATTAGTCATAAATTCAATAGTCATAAATTCCAATAGTCATAAATGTTATGAAACTGATTGCTTGGAAATGTTATTCTCTGATATAATCCCGTTAACAAATCCAAAATTAATAGGTTTAATGATAGCCGATCACGTGCAACCAAGGAGTTTGATTCGAGAACACGACAAGGAACATCACGTACACCTCAAAACCTCTAACCACAAACCTCGAAACTCAAAACTCAAAACTCAACACTCAAACCTCAAAATCTACGGTTAATAAAATTTATGACTATTGAATTTATGACTAATGGAATTTATGACTAATGAGTTTATGACTAATGGAATTTATGACTGATGAGTTTATGACTAATGGAATTTATGACTAATGGGTTTATGACTAATGGAATTTATGACTAATGGGTTTATGACTAATGGTTTTATGACTAATGGGGTTATGACTAATGGTTTTATGACTAATGGATTTCGCCCGATTTTCGGTGCTTTAAGGTTGTAAAGAGGTGTACGTTTTTCCCTAGAGTTAGGGTTTTTATTAAATTTAGCTATATTTTAAGTTAAAAACTATCTAGATTTTTCAGAGCGACAGCGAGAGCGAGCCGTTCAACGAAAACGAGGCATCGGAGCGCAGCGAGTTCGAGCACGACCACGAGACCGAGGAGGAGGCCGAGGTGTCCGAAACCGAGAAGAAGAACGAATAATTTTTGCGCGCATGTACGAATTTCTGCACCCAGTTTTTCATGCTTTCCCCCCATTCCTGCAACGAACCTTTCAACTTGTTACGTGTTTCGTTATTGCTGCCTTATGCCCCTTCCTTCAAACTTTGACATATTGTTTTTTTTAAATTGAACACAATCAATAATTCCCGTGTATCTGCTTCTCATTTTCTCATTTTTTTGCATAGCAACAACTTCGTTAAGTGTGCTGAACATAACACCGGTTCCCCCGCCTCATCAACTGTGGTTTTAGACGTTTTTATCGGCATAAAAATTGAGAAATTTGTTTCGAGGCTCTAGCACTGCTTGATGTCCTTGCAGATGTCGTCGACGGACTTGTCTGGAAAAGCGATTTTTAGGGGGGAAGTGCTTAGTTTTAAACCGTTTTAGTTAACCAAAGAAGTAGAAAGAAATTTTGACGTGTCAAAAAAAACCGACTGGCGTTGACGTCGGTGACGAGAGTGGCAATGTTGTTGTCAACGAGGGAAACGCAAGAGTCGACGGCACCCTGTCCTTGGAAGCGGCGGAGGGTCTCGCACTCCTTAAAATTTGTAAACATTAATGATATCAAGATTTTTAAGGAATGGATAAGTCAGTGCACGGTTCAAGTGCGTTACCAGGGGGGAGGGGGGGGGCGTTTTATACCGAGGTTCCGGAGACGCGGCGTAGTAAATAAAACAGTTTTATTATTGCTTACGCCGTTTTTAAAAAAAATGCCAAACTTTTAATCACAAAGAAGGCTTTAGCTTTTTAGTAATACACTACAAATAACGCCATGCAACTAAATATGTTTATTAATATGGCAGCTAGCCTGAAAAAAGGAAGCTACCTCCCCCGCTAATGAACCAATACCCAAAGAGCCGAAAGATCAATAGCCTACCTGGAGAAGGGCGATCTGGAGCTCGCCCTGGTCAACGCGTCCACGGCGGAGGTGGTGCTCAGCCTGGAGTTTGATAAAATTTATGCTTGGGGAAAGTCCAAAGTTTAGCTGTGTTTCAAGCGGAGGCACGTAAAACCGCAACTTCTCCTCACCTGGGAAACGATGTAGTGGCAGACCTGGCAGGGGCTGTAGGTCGGCGGGACACCGGTTCCGGTGGGGCGTTGCTGAAATCGGAAATTTTTGCGCTTTAAAATTGGATATAACTATTTTTCGACGTTGAGTAGTTTTGGGAGGTTTTTAGAACTAGTTTTTTCTCTTTTTTTGTATAAAAAATCAGCCGGCAACTTGGACTTACAGCGTAGGTGAGGGCGACGAGGGCAAGGAGAGCAAGGACGGCCTTCATTTCTGCAAAAACAAGTAATGCTTGGCGTTCAGCAAACGGATTTTGGGAGTCGATTGAGCGTAGTCATAATTTTCAATAGTTTCTGAATACTCAGAAGCCCTAAAACTTCAAAAAATTGGGAAATTTTGGGATGTTGAATCCAAGAGTTAAAATCTCACGTAAGTTTAGTGATTTTTTTTATACTTTTTGTTGTCAAAAAGGCTTAGGCTAAGGCTTAGTGTTAGGCTTAGGCTTGGGCTTGGGAATGGGCTTGTTTAGGCTTAGGCTTGGGCTTGGGCTTAGGCTTAGGCTTGGGCTTGGGCTTGGTCTTAGGCTCCGGCGTAGGGGCAGGGACTCCCGCTAACGACCCTAAATTTAGGAGAAAAAGCCACGATTTTAGGCTTTATGCCCAGCCTGGGCGAACTAATGGCAAACCATCAAAAAGCGGGCGATAAACCATTCAAGTACGGCGAATCACTGGCTGCCGAGACGGGTTATAAATCTGGGCGGCTTATCTTGAGGGCCGTGGAGACGTGGCCCTTCTGAATTGCTACCGTGGTGGGGGTTGTATTTTCAGAGGGCCCGGCCAAGATAAGCTGAGTTGACGCTGAAGTCTGGTTGATCGATGGTCCCGAAAAGCAATCGAAATCCCCCGGCGAAAAGCGCGCGCTTGGTGCGCCTGGTGCTTTTTGCTTCAGATCTTCAGATTGGTGCCGGCTAGCAGAGGATTTTAGGAAAAGAGTTCCCTGGAAAACTGCAGATTTGTGTGGAAAAAAAGTTACGGTATTATGCAATAGCGGGGGGGGGGCTGGAGGATTTTTCTCCTGGAAGCCCGGAACTGCCTATTAATGACATCTTTAAAAAAGTGTTGCCATTAAATTTAACTGTATTCTAAGTGAAAACCCCGATTTATTTAGATAAGTGCGACACAGTAAAACCTTATCGAAAATCGGAAAATTTGGCTGGAAAACCGATAATTTAGTTATTTTTTTGTAAAATTTTTTTGATAGCTTTTGATGAATAGCAAAATGACTCCCATTTATAACAGAAAAATCTAATCCTGCGCCGAAAAAAACTGCGAAATACGAAAAATACCGAAAATCCTGCTTTAGACTTGGCGATTTCGTTATCGAAAATGCAGTAATTTTCGAAGTTTTACCGGTTTGTCAGGGATAAGCTTGTCGTTTCATTAATGCATTCTCACATGGCTCAGCTTCTCCTTTTTGCGTAACAACTAACAAGCCGCTAAGCCGCTTCAAATCACGACCTCCTCGATCTGTCCTCCGTGACGCAAATTAATCCGATCGCGCTCCCTTATCAGCTGCAGTTCCGGGAGTTTCCAGTAGATCCCCCAATCTTTCAGCTAATCCCTGAATCCGGGATCTCTAGTGTTCACTGTTTTTCCTTGAACTTTTTGTGTAGTTATGACTTTAAAGGCCTCGTGAAGCCAAATAGCCTTTATTTACATCGGAAATTCAATGAGTATTTTTATCTCAGCGCTCTCAAGACGGCTTGCGTCGACGATTCTTTGCAAGCCGAAATGCCGACGCAAATTTCTTGCGGTCTCGAGCCTGAAAATGGAGATACTGTAGTTCTAACTGAGATTGGCTTAAAAGCCTAGCACTCTGTATGGAATCAAGATAGTTGGCATTATCGGGGGAAGCACGAAAATTTTTTTCGTGGCAAATTTTTCTAGAATCAATAGAGGAAAAAATACCAAACCTTTGGTCAAAAATTCGAATTTTAAAAGGTTTTAGATGGTTTTTAATTGATTGTAGTGTTTAAACTTTACTAAAAATACTATTAAAATACTTTCACAATTCCTAGGAAAAGCTATATCCCCGGGTAATGCCACTCCCGATAATGCCAAAGAACCTAAAAAAAAGTACAACAAAAAAACTTAAAATTAAGCTTACCGAACATGAGTCCTTGATAAATTTGGTGGCCGTGACTTCTCACGATCGAATCGCACGTCTCCAGCACTGCAGAGCCATCAATTTGGCCCAATCTCGTGCAAAGCTGGAAAAAATAAGGTCACTTCGACGAAATCGGGGGCGCGCGCCTGAACGCCTTGCTGTCACGTCACTCACATCGAGCAGCTGATTCTGCACGTCATCCTCGGTACCGAAGGCGCCGCCGTGCTGGTCGATTTCCGTTTGGAGGAGGAAGCCGCAGACTTTGCACGGGTCTACCGTCTCGCCCAGGCGATACTGTAATTATTTTTCAAAAAATAGGTGCTTTTGCATTATCGGGGGGGGGGGACGCGATCTTTTTAGACCGCAATTTTTCCAAATAGATGGATGAATTGTGGTTAAACAGTTTTTTTTACAAAAGGAAAAACGTGTTCGAAAAATACAAAAAAATACCGATTATTTTGGCAAAAATGGTCAATTCCAGAACATTGTTCAAAAATTCAGCCAATTCGGCGCTGCTACGCGCACCAACGACACTTGCGGGCGTTGAAAACAGGATGACGAAGCCGTTTTTATACTTTTATTCATTTTTAAGCTTTTTCGGCTACTCTAGACGCTATAATGATATCTGAACTTCCTGAAAACAGTGGAATGAAGCCATTTTTGTTGTTTTGTACTTTTTTAAGCTTTATTTGGCTATAATAAGCGCATTAATGGTGGCAAACCAAAAGTGTAAGACTTACCGCATTTCCAACAAGCACGTGCGCAGCAAAAATGACGAATAACAAGAGCATAATCTCAAGCAAAACCCAGTTCAACACCGTCTGAATCGTCGGCCTTATCGAACCAAAAGATGGCTTAGAGAATCAACTCGGAAAAAATTGGGGATTATCCTCACCGGCGGGGGGGTTAACCCCGATTGTTTTTGGGCTGATAAGTTGGGAGCTGGGCCTTCGTCATCGCCCGGCTGAAACGTGTTTGCGTTCCACGCGGTTTCCGGAATTCGGAAATTTGCGTACAAATTGGGCAAAATTGGGTTCAAAAGTATCTAAAAGTCGATAAAGAAACATCGAAAACTGACGAGAGAGACATAGCGAGAGACCGAGAGAGAGAGAGAGAGAGATGGGAAGAGAGCAGGCTGTTTTAAACTATTTTTTGCTATTCCTAAACGCAAACCTTTACGAAATTGCACCGAAGATACAAAAAAAAAAATCGATTTTTAGACCGGCCAAAATTACGAATTTCGAATTTTTAGAAAGTTGCTAGATTGTTTTCTACATTAAATAGAGTTAAATTTGGACTAAAAACATTCAAAATATATACTATTAGCCTACTGCGATGCGAAAAAAACCATGCAAATAAATAAATCGTCAAAATCGTCAAAGCAACATCAGAAACGTCAAAAAACACATAACAACGACCTACACGGCTTTTTCCTGATATGACCATACCCAAATTTGAATCCTAATTTGAATATGATTCTAACGTCACGAATTCGACACTAAACACCATCAAAAACGCAAAAATGTCCCGGAGCGCCTGGTTGCTGCTGCTGGTCGTCGGCCTGTCGATGGCCAACCGAAACACGGAAGATCGATTGAGGGAGGTCAGCGTCTTTTAATTGTGGCATTTCGATATATACTTTAACTACGGTATTTATGATATAATATATTTCTTACTTTCTCGTTTCCAGATAGACAGACAGCTGACGGAACTCCAGGGGAAGACTACCGCCCTCGAGGAGAATAAGGCCGGCGAGACGGTGGTGATCGCCCTCACGATGATAATGGTGGGAAAGGATTTGTCGGTACTGGACTGCTAGCGGGGGGAGGCTTTTTTGCTCATTTTAATGCATTTCTTATCAACAAATGATAAATTTTGAATTTTTGGCAATTTTGAGTTTTTTTTAGATCTAAAAACTGTGTCAATTCCTTCAAAAAGCTGATATTTTGTTTTAGGACTGTAAGGGGTTACCGGGGAAAAATTGCCCCCCGTAACAGAACAGTACCGCCTTAGCTGCTAAAACCAACTCCTTGTCTACGAATTTTCAGGTGGTGATTTCCGGACTCGCCTGCTGTGCCGGTATCGGGGTCGTTTTTCTTTGTTTCGGCATTCGGTGGGTGCGGGTTTTGGCGCTCTAACTGCTTCTAGAAACCTGTCGAACCGGATCAAGAAGGTGAAGGAGACGACGAAGAAGAAGGCCAGTACCCCGGTAAGCCTAATGCTAAGCCTAAGCCTAAGCTCATGAAATTGCTTTCCAGGACGACGGCGGCGGGACGACCGAGGAGAACACGTTGGCCCCGCAGCTCCCCTAGCCGCTCGATACAGCGAGCGGATGATGGTCACGGACCAGCGCCCCTCTACATTCTCGATCTACTAATAAGCGCCACCCCTGATTGTCCTCTTTTTCATATGCAACTACAATCTATTCGGGCGACTGAATAAAGTGTTTTCGGAGCGTGCCAACAGTGTACATCTACAGAGTTGTCATCTACAGTCCATAAAAAACCAGTTTGCGGTTCCTAGAAACGTCCGATTCCGATAACTTCGGCATCGAATTTTTGATACTTTTGCGATAAAAGGATTTTCCCAAGAGAAAAATTTCCGAATTTTTTTCCTATATTTCCGGCCAAAAAAAACGAAAGAACTATTTCTAAAACTTGGAAAAATATTTAAAAAATGATTTTTTTGACGAAAAAGTCTATATTAATTTGAGTTTGTTAATAAATCTTTGAAAGGTGTTAAGTTTAGGAACTAACTTAACTAAATAACTTAACTTTCAAGGAAAAAGTACGTCTGCCTCGACCTTGCGATTTAGAGCCTGCGGGTCCAATCGGGACCTGGGAGCGAGCGGGAAAGGGCATTGAGCGGCGGGGCGGCTGCGTCGCGCTCTTTTCGCGCCAACTCCCAGCTCTCTGCTCCCTACTACCGGCTCCCTGTACTCTCGTGAAGCTGTTCACCTTTTCCGAGCTCCAGCCCAGTTTCCAGCCCAACTCCACCAACTCCTCGCTGCTAAAAATGTCAACATCAGAGCCTCCAACTTCAGAAATGGTCGCCCGAGCCACCCCAGAAGAAACGGAAATGAATTGTGAGTTTTTTGTGCGAGTTATGTCACCTTATAAGGTGTTTTATCCTGTGTTTGTTAAAATTTGACAATATTTTAATCGGAAAAACTTTAAAACTTTCAAAAAGTTATAAAAAACCTTTGAAAAATCGAGTTTGATCATTTTTAGCCTTATTTTTGCTCTATATGGATCGTTGGCCTAGAAATAAGCTCAATGACGTTTTATACTGGTATCAGAAATTTTTTGAAATATTTGACGCATAAGAATTTGCAAAAGGTAGAAAATGTTTGAAAAAGCCGGAATTTTGGTCTTTTTGAGACGCAAATCAAGATTTTTTCGACCTAGATCTGTTATTTCATTCAATTTCTAAAGCCATTGTAAAATTTTGCCTTTAAAAATAACCTAAAATATAAGGAAATTTCTAAAATACAATTCGAAATTGAAAATTTAGTCAACTCCCGGCTCAACCCCGGCTTCCAGCCGGTGATCGACGCGATGAAACGCCATCTGATTGCCATGATCTCCGGGTCGTTGCCGATTTGGAGTTTTTTTGTTGTACGTTTATTTATGTTTTTTTCCTCTGGTTTAAAGTTTATTTTTATATATTAACCGTTTAATTCTTACAGTTTTTATAACTAAAATTTAGAGCGCGGATGAACGGATGTTTGTGGAACAAGAATGGGCCCTGATCACGGAAAGAATGAACTTATTGTACCCAAGATGGCACTTTACAGGTTGGCGATTTGGCGCTTTACTTTACAGGATATTTTATAGGCCTTATTACGAGCTTAATCCAAATTTTTAGCCTAAAAACCACCTTTTTAGAGCAGCTCCTGCGAGGCCAATGGAAAATCCTGCGCGCGTGCTACCAGCGGGAGCGGAAGCGGCTGCTGGCCAATGCGAGAAGGGTGCGTAAAAGCTGAATGTTGTTGTATTATCTTTTCCAGCCCATAAAGTGGAAATTTTACGAGGAGATGCAGTTTCTCGAGGACTCCGGCATGCACCCGTAAGGATTTGGCGACTTTTAAATCGTTTTTCTTAGAAGAGATTCACTATTTTGCTATTTTTTAAAAGTTATCTATATTATCTAATACTTTATAACCATTTTATAGTACTTTAGATCTATTTTTTAACCTTTCTAGGCCCGTCCCGCCGCGTGGCGTCGACCCGGACGGCGAGCAGTGGATGGCTCAGCACAAAAAGTTGACCAATGAAATGTTGGAGCGGAGTAGAGCGGTAAGTTTTTTAAAGTTAATTGCTTCAGGATTACCAGAAACTTAAAGAAAATTGCTACAGTTTATTTAGATAGCCAAAGCTAGCCGTCACTACCTGACCGGCGCAACGGGCCTCGAAGTTTTGAAGGTATGTAATCTTTCTAGGAGCACTTTATTTTTAATTTTCCAGGCCGGAATCCCCGCCTACGAGACGCGGATGACGTTTCCGAAACAAGAAGTTCAGGAGCCTGTGGAGCCTGAATATCCGCCAGACTTCAACTTTAGCCGAGTGCTCGAAGGAGCCGAGGATTATGGTAGGTTCTTAGCTGTCTTTTTTCTATAGTGTTCTTCTAGAAGACGGTCTAGACGGCCTTGATGTTCAGGACGAGCTCGACGGCCCGAGCTCTGGTCCATCATCTTCGACGAGTAACGACGGCCCCGGCGCGCCGTTGCCATTCTTCCCGATTCGGCCGTATGGCGGCAGTGCGGAGTGTCGTGAAAGGGTGAGGTCTAAGACTTTCTAAACTGTTTTTGCTATCGAAAGTGTAGAACGTTGCAGGATTTTCTTGAAAATACATAATTTCGTTTTGACAAAAATTTCCAAAGTTTAGACGATTTTTATAGTTTTTCCGGATAGTAAAAATTTTGTTAAAATACTGATTACGATGTTAGTATGAAGTCTTTTGGTTTATACGATAAAAGGAAAGAAGCGAATTATCACCAATTTTTTTTAGCTGTCGAGCTTCCCCCTCACTCAACATGGGGCCTACTCGGCGAAAAAGCGCACAGCAACGGACACTAATCAGATCACGGAACCGAAATCCGACAAATACGAGTTATTAGGCAGATCCGTGGCGCAGGTAAAAAATTTAAATGCCTTCTAGACTCTAAAATACTTTGTAGACGCTAAGCCAACACGGGCCCGGCGACGAGCTGATCGTCGAGGAGACCGTCATCGAGATCGAGGAGGCGCTGCAGAATTTTAGGAAGAAAATGATCAAAATGAAGCGCTTCAAGCAAGAAAATGGAAGATTTTAAAATTGTTACTTTTATCGCTATGTAGATAAAAATCCCAAAAAGACCAGTTTCACAGCGGCGAGTCCATTTTTTTATCCTTCAAGGTCCCCGGGAACGATTTGATAGCAGTTTGCCGAGGCGTAACAGAGACACAAGAGACGGGCTGATATTTTCGCATCGCGCACCCAATAAAGGGGCAGGCGTTCGATTTGACAATCCGCAGCAGCCCGCCTTTCACAGTGCCTAGCCCCGACGTTGGGTGAGCCTGAAAAACAACTTGGAAATGACGCCGCCATCGCCTCCTACTGCTGATGTTCAGCAGCAGCAGCAGCAGCCCGTCATCTCCGGCGATGGGAAGCTCTATTTCCATAGGTGCGCTAGAAAATTAGGGACCGTCGGCTTCAAAAAGGGGAGTTTTCGTGGCTGAAAACTCTACCTTTAAAATCACGCATTTTCGGAGGCTAAAAACGTATTTTTTTCACTTAGAATTAAAATTTTGTGGGTCAAAAGAGCCCAATGACAGCTGGTTTTTTCGCATGATTTTAGCGATATTTTAATTGATTTCCCAGTCTTCACGTGAGCCTAAACTTAAGCTTAGGCCAAGGCAGATGGCTTCGAAAATGGCCATTTTTTAGCTTAACAAGTTGCCTCTTCATTGTCCTTTTATTTTCAATGCGCTCAATCGGAAAGCCCAGATCTGGTGGTCTCGAGTTTTACGAGACAGTTGACGAGCTGTCACCGTGTTTCCTGGTTTTCACAGGCTCAAAATTGGGTTGAACTTGTTTTTTTTTTTGCAATGCCTCTGGACAGGCTTTGGTTTAGGGTTAGGCTTAAGCTTACTGTTAGGCTTAGGCTTGGCTTAGGCATAGGCATAGGATAGGCTTAGGCTTAGGGTTAGGCTTAGGCTTACTGTAATGTGTTTTTACTCAGGATGGCTTTTTAGAATGGGACCAAGCCTATCTTGTGCAGAATTTTTCGCTGATTCCGAATCTGATTTTCAAATTTGCTGCCGACTTTTATTTAAAAAGTTATTCGAGATTTATGCTAAAAAATTGACTAAATGTGGATTTTTTTGCGTTATTTTTATGTTGTCGTCACCTGCGACGTTAAAAATGGCTCGGTTACAGTTTTATAGGTGTAAGCTCGATTTTATGCAAAAAATCAATTGTTTTTGTGCAAAAAGCAAAGAAATTGTGGAGGGAGGGGTTCGAACCGCCGCCCTATGCTTGCCAAGCGAACAGCTTACCAATGCACCATGGTGCCAACTGGGAACGTTGCTTCGGGAGGGTAGATAAGGGGCACAACAATACCTGGGCCCAGACAGAGAATAGTGGGCCAGCATCCGTATTTATGCCGTTTTTAAGCTTAATTTAGACCCCAAACGATTTGACCGCAGCAAATTTGGAAAACGGATTCGGAATCAGCAAAAAATTCTGAACAAGAAAGTCTTGGTCCCATTCCAAAACGCCAGCCTGAGTAGGCTAGCCTAGGCTTGGGCTTAGGTTTAGGCTTGGGTTAGGCTTAGGTCAGACTTCTGCTAAGGCTTGGGCTTAGGATTAGTAAAGCTTTAAAGATCATCATCCTCATCCCCCAGAACCGTTCACCCCAGCTTTCTTTTCCTGGGGGTTCAAATCAATCGTCCTTCACCCCTACCCATCCTCATCCTCGGTTTTCGACCGCCGCGGTGCTCCACTTCTCTCGGGGGCTTTTCCCGGCAAAAAATCCGGCTCATTTTATCACGCTTATCCGGCTACTTCCTTGTTTTTTTCTTGAGGGTTTTCGCTTGTTTTTTGAAATTTTAATTTTCCACTTGCCTCTCCGACCTCTTGCGCAACTACCGTACGCCTGCTTCCAGAAAAATGCCCTCCGGGACCGACAACCCCGGGTTTCGCCGGGAGCAAGAGCCGAAACGGATCGTCCGCGGGCTGGCTGACAGTATTTTGGTGTTAGTGGAGTTTAAAGGGGTGGTTAAGGCAAATATTGAAAATCCGCCCCTTGAAAAAATTGCAATCATTTTAAAACGTCTTCTTTGAGCGTCCTGTAATTTTAGGCAATTCTTAAAAAAAGCTCGGGTAGAAAAGTTAAAAATTGAAAAAGGTTAGAAAAACTACAAAGCTACAAGCGACAAATGAAGGCGAAATACACGCTCAATTTCAGAGTGCCCGAATCGATCGGTTCCGAAAGCCCGCGGTCAATCAGGAGCTACCACAAGGTACGTATTGATGTAATTTCTTGAGAAAACTATCGGGAACGCGCATTAATGGTAGAACCAGTAGAACTACAGTATCCATGTATTTTTTTGCAAATTTAGGGCAGCAGCGGCACGCTGACCGGCGGCGGCATCAAGGCCAACTACTCGAAACAAGTGGTGGGTGTTCTAAATTGTTTTTTTTTGTTTTGTTTGGGCTTCGAGCCGAGCGGGTTGTTCAAGGAGTTCAGCTCATGATATGGAAATGCCGACATCTGCCAATTTCGGCATTCTATTTCCCCGGTCAGAGAAAATAGTATTTATCCGCGCGCTTTCTCTAATTTGCTCTCGACTACTGCTATGGCGCCCGCCAACAAATCAGCCTCCCCCACTCGAAATGTCCACTGATCGATAGGCCAATTACCAAGAATGACTGACTGGCCGACTGGCAGGGTTGAGTCGCACTCTAAAATTTTCAACGGATTTCGATCAATTTTGTACTTTTCAAGATCGTTCAATTTTTAGAGCTTGCTTAGGCAGGGCAAAGTTAGCATTAGGCTTAGGCTTAGGCTTAAGCTTACCCGTCTTCTGCTCGTGATCAAATTTTGCCCGACGCAAAAACGGTTGATGGCGGTGTTCACTTTGAGGAGAGAGAGAGAGAGAGAGAGAGAGAGAGAGAGAAAGGCAGAGTGAGAGCCAAAGCAGTACCCAGGTAGCATGGGTCCTCTGTACAAACAGGGCCCCTGCAAGAGTCCATTTTTCTGTGGCCCACCACCCGTTCTTGCTCTAGCCGTCCTTCTCCGGGCCCTGGAACACTCAAAAGCCATCTCCTTCCCCCCAAATGCTTGATCGCCCCGGCTGAAAACTACTTGTCACTTTTGAGCCCTGGAAACCGTTTGGCACCGTTTTGAAAGAATCTCTGCTCGTTACCCCCTGGAAACTTAACTGCTTTAAGCTGTTAATAATATAAAATTTGTATTTTTTGTGTTTTTATGACGGCAAAATGAAACTTTTTGCGAGCTCCTTTCATGTTTGTTTTCTGAATTTTTTTAAACCAAGAAATCTAGGGTAAAAATGACGGCCTACAAGAAGCAAGTGGTAAGGAAATTTCATTTTTTCAAAAATCTATTTCTTTTCCAGGACATGAAACAGTACAAGGCGAAAATCGACAAACGGCTCGGCCACTGCCTGCTCGCCTGTATCGTCACCATCGCTACCGTACTCTGCGTTTATGGGGTGAGGATTTGGTACTGTACTGTTAGCGGGGGAGTTATCTAGCGGATGTAAAAATAAGCATTTCCGGTGCATTTTTATAGTGTTTTTTTGTAGTTTTTGATCAGTAAAATTTTTAGAAAATGAGGAAAAATTTACTTTTTTGGATACCGGAGTATTTTTATAAATTTTCTATGCTTAAAAACCGTTTAAAACTATATAAATGGCGTGATTCCATTACCGGAACCCCCATAACCTTTTTCAGCTGATCCACCAGTCGGTGCACACCGAATTGACGACGTACGTCAACAGGACACACCAGATTGCGAACGTACTCCGAGAAGACGTCGAAAAACCGTTTTATTTTCGTTTAGGAAATGAAAACGGTGATGCTGGACGACTACGGTAAATTAGACAACAAGACGCTGGCCGCTATGGAGGGTCATAATTGGATGGAAGTGGAGGAATTGGAGCACGATGCGTATTTATTGGATCAGGTTCGTGTTGGTCTCTCTCTCTCTCTCTCTCTCTCTCTCTCACTCGCTCTCGCTCAAATCCCAATTTCCAGACCCATTCCAAAATCTGGTGGCTCTTTTTCGGCAACGTGGTCGTCGCCATCCTACTTACCCCGGTCCTTTTCCTCGTCCACTGCGGCTTCGTCGAGGGCAACGGGTTCAAGCTGGTGTACCGGGTGGGCTTTTAGAAGCCTGGAAAAACAATAATTTTAGATAGTACTGCTGGCCTGTCTGATCTGGCTGTTTGCCCAGTTCTTCTACCTGATTCACCCGATTTTGTTTGGGGCTGCTCGATTCCCGGGGGTAGGTTCCTTCAGGATCTCTGCTAGCTTGCCATTGGTGATTCCCAAAGAGAATCTGCTAGCTTGCCTTGATAGCTTCCTGCCTGCTTGGAGCTTCAGAATTCCTAAGGGATCTCTGCTAGATTAAATTCCTGACGGATCTTTGCCAGCTGCCTTTCGCCTTCGGGATTCTTAAAGAATCTCTGCTAGCTTGCCGTTTCTCTTAGCAATTCCTAAAAAACTCTGCTAGCCTGCTTTTTTGAAGAAAATTTGCAATTTTTATGATCGATCTTGCTGGTAATGATTTATTTATATTTTATTTAAATTCCAAATTAAATAAATGAAAATTCAGATGGTCGACCGCTTATTCGTGACCGGTTACCCGCGGGATGAATACCAACTGAACGACATCAAAGATGCTTTCTCGTGCGAATGGGTCCCCGACCCGGTGCTGGTCCGATTCGACCTACAGGTACTTTTAAAGGGCCATTCGAGGCAAAAATCCGCTAAAATTCCAGCTGGAATGCCTGCCCCGGATCAAAAACTCGCTGTTCCCGGCGTACGTGGCCATCCTGTTGCTCGTCCTCGACGTGTTCCCCTTCATTTTTGCGATTTTCATGTATGCGTGGAGCGCTTGTATCAAGGTGAGCGTCATGGCTAAAGAAAAGTTTTTCAAATTGAAAAAAATCGAAAAACCATTTTCGGTACTTTTCTAATATGAGGGGGGGGGGTGCTTTTTCCTATATGCCCATCATATCTGCCTAGTAGCATAATTTCAGTTTTGAAGGGTTTTTCAGTAAAATTTAGCCATATTTCACGTGCAAAAATGATTAGAAAATTAAAATTTTGAAAAACTTGGTAAAACCGTCTCTGTTTGGAAAATCGATATAATTTTTTTGTGAAAAACAAAGCTTCTCGTAGTTTTAAGGTTAGATATCGTAAAAAATCTGTTTAAAAACACTTACTTTAAGCTTTAAAAAATAGGTTTTAAGGAAAAAGGTGTGTTTCCCGGAAATACAAAATAACTTATCTTTGAGATAGCTTAAAACAATTATTTCTTACTCTAAATAACTCAATATTGGATTAAGGATTTGGATTTTAAGTCATATTTACTAACAAAATTCTTTTTTAGGACCACAAACACGTGAACACCCTGCGCCAGCGCGTGAATGTCAACAACCAGCGCAGGTTTGTTTTAATCTTTACTTTAGACTTTGTTGGTTGTAGTTTTAAGATTTTTTATAGTTTATACTTTTCTTTAGCTGAATTTAAAACTAAAGAATTCCGAAAAGCTCTAAAAATAACAGATGTATTTTTGTATAATGTTTCAGAGTCCACCTCCCGCGACATCAAGAAAACTACGTGCCGCCCAACCCGAAGCTTATCCATATCCCGTAAGCTACTATCGACGTTAGATTATACAAAATCTCGAAAAATAATAATCTCATTTTAGGACCGACAAACACGGCCAATACCTGTGAATATCTACACCTTCTAACAACCACTGACGGGCCTGAGAATAGATGAAAAACTGGTGCTTCCCCTTTTTCACTTTGCTACATTTTCACGTACTTCCGGTGCATTTTAATAAATAAAAGGATTCTTTTTCGGATTTATAACTACAGTTAGGTCCATAGTACTCAAGCGGAGGGCTGATCTTCGGGCCGGCGGAGCTGGGCTCGAATTTGCCGGACGCGCGATTTTATGATATCCCAGGAGAAGTAGCAGCCCTCCAGCGTTCGAGCCTCAAAATATAATAGTGAAAAGCATTTACAAAATTACAAAAATTTTCAAAATTTTAACGAAAAAAAACAAAATATGATTTTTGATACGATTTCGACCAAAATTGAGCATTTCCAGACTTTTCTTGCTTTTGTAAATCGTTTTTGGGCTTGATAGATGACTAATTTTACTAAAAAATCACAAAATAACTTGTTACGCTGTTCAAAATCTGTACTTATCGAAAAGTAATTTAAAAAATGCAACTTTACCGATCCCTCCGAATTTCGGAAATTGTCGCGGGTGTGCAGAAGCCGCTTATTTGCCCATAGGACGGTTTCGCCTACAATTTGAAAACTGAACGATTTAGAGCTAATCGTAACGCAACCGCGACGCTGCACTCGAAAAAAAGATCCTTAAAAAACCACGCACCGTCTTGCAGCTGGAACTTCAAAATGTTCTCCGGCTCGTAGCAGTACTTGGTGAACAGCTTCATTGCGCTGAAAATTCCAGCTTTTTGTGGATGCCAATTAGATCCAGATCGTTAAATTGAAACTGATAAAACTAGAAAAATTAATGAAGATATTTTTGTACGGAAACCGAACTCGTAGATCTTCTGCACGTCTTCCGGCGGGCAGTCGTAGAACCACGAGCGCATCGCGTTTCCGAACTGCACCTGCACCACTTCCCCGGCGGCGTTTCTTCTGAAAATCAAGAATTTTGATTAGCTTCTTCAGTACTGTAATTTAAGTTATGATAAAACTTCTAAAATTCTAAAAAGCACCCAAACTACCGTACTTGAACACCGAGTGCCGGGCGGCCATTTTGAAGGGAAAATTCTTCGGTTGGCCGTCGTCACCGGCGTGCACGTCAAAGCCTAAAAATATCCAACTTTTCCTTGGGAACAAATTTTCGAATCTAATGAATTAAGTTTATCACAGATTTTTACTATTCTAAACACGACCCCATAAAATTTGGTTTGAAAATATTAACTAAAAAATAGTTTTTGTTCATAAATTCGAATTTTACAAGTTTTTAGAAGTTTTTTCACCTAATCGATCTAAGTTTGACTCCAGCAGAATTAAAAAATAAAAACCAGTATACCCGAAAATATAAAAGTCCTAATTTCGCCCACACCCACCCTCTTCAATATACTCGGTCGTGTAATTACACAACGTCTCGAAGACGTCCGGATGCCGCTCCCGCAACTGTAAATGGACATCTTTTTTAGGGTTTGTGCTAATTGGCACGTACCAGCTTTGCGATGTGGAACCCGTCGCAGAACAGGCTATTTCCACCCTCGGCCGCCCGCGTGACCATGTGCAGCATTTGGAGCTGAATGGGCTATTTTTGAAGCTACCGAAAAAAATTGGAAGCTCCTGGGGGGCTATCATTTAATAGAGTGTAACGTAAAATTATTGCGCTAAAATTGGACAACTTGGCCTCGCAATGGGCACCAAACGTATTTTGGCCAGAGTTTTGCCGCAAAAATAACTTTTTAGGGGTAGAAATGGCTATAATTTAGCGGCCAAAGCGCAGATTTGGGAAACAATGTAATTCTAAAATCGAAATATATAGCAAACTCTGGAAACGTCATAACGTCTACAATTATTAATTCGACAATTCCAACCAATATAATTTTTTTGCGCAAGTATCGAAAAATGATTCTCGAAGCTTCGAAACCCAGCTTCCGAAAGTCGCACCTGCGGCGGATCGGCTAGCGATGGAAAATCGGTGTGAAACGGCAGCTCCCCGTTTGATGCATAGGCCATATTCGAAGCATCAGCTTTTTGTGGAAACTTCAAAAACTTTTCTAAACGTTGAAAACGTGGATTATCGAAATCGAAGAACCCACCCGAAATGCGTTCGATGGATGAGCAAAATTCGCTGGCCAATCTGCTCGACGGCGCCGCGTCCCGGGCCGTTCGTCAGCTTTGCGATCCCGTCGAGGCAAACGGCCTCCAGGAAATCGTGAAGCACGTTGTCATCTTTCAACATTTCGCCAAAATCGAACGTCTTTAGCCGCTTCTCGATGGTCGCACGATCCCAGGTGTCTTCAGGGAATAGGTAGAATTTTCTGAGGATTTGCTATTTTCTTTTAAACAAGTTTCACACCTTCTATGCTGCTTTGCTTGCTCGTCGAGCGGATTGCGTAGTCGAAGCCAATCGGAGGTGAAGCTGAAAAGTACGAAGGATTACCAAATTTATAAAAACCAGGCCAAAACACAAAATTTTACCGGCTCATATGACCGCCATCCCACTCGATCAAAATAGATGTGCCGTCTTCGGTTGGCTGCAGCTCCTTGATCGAAGGGCGAACCTGAACAGAGGCTCAAAAGATTTTCAAGGGCTTGAAAAAGCATATTTTGCATCAAATAAGAAACTCACGTCAAAGTCGCGCATCCAAAAATTCCGGGCTGTCATCGCCGGCGAGAACGTGTAGGTGATCGGGTCCGGCGAGCAATCTCGCAACCAAACCAGCGGAAATCGCCCCTCTTGGCCTAGACGAATAGAAAATTTTTTATTATTTGGTAGGGTTTACCATCATCCCACTGCACCTTCAATAGCCGATCTAAACCCTCCTCCACAGCGACAATTCGCGGCGCCTTTGTCGCGTACGCTCGCGCGGCCCTTGAGTATAGAAATACACAATAACAACTAGCAAGAAACTTACAATGGCCAAAGTCGCTGCAGCATCTCCCCAGACTTCCAGCGCCCGCGCAAGTACTGATGAACTATGCCCTAACACCATCGCCCATCGATCCCCCTCCTTTCTTATCATAGCTAGCTCTTTTTACCCTGCATGCTGCCCGTTGACCCCATTACTCCATTCGCTGTTGTTTCCCCCTGTTTAAACACACGAGTAAAGGGGGAAAATTTATGGCAACCCCAAAAATTAACACAAACATCAGCCAATTAGTAAAACGATAATCGGGTCGGGGAAAAAGCCGGGGGGAAACGCCTCCAGTGGGCGCAGGTGATTACGTTACGTAAAAATACTTAATCAGCAATAGGGGTCGGTTTTAGTGAGGGGCGTGCTTGGGAAAGTAGGAAGAGTAAGAACATTAAATTACAAGGTGGACACGGGCACAACACAAAACAGGGCCGGGCGGGGATTAGTTAGGATAATAATTGCACGTACACGTATTTTATCACACGTCTTGTTGATTAGTTTGGAACGGGGGGTGTCAAAACTGGCACGGCGTACGTGGCCATGGAAGCGAATGCAGCGTGCTCTAACGAAGCAGGTCGCTAGGCGAGAAGGGGATGGTGCACAGCTGATGCGCGCTCATAAGATGCTTCTTCGGGGTGGCCAGGCTCTTCTCCAGGAAACCATCGTCCTCGATGAAGGAGCTATCGTGGAGGAAGTCGAAATCGATGTTGACTCCCTAAAAATTTGGAATATAGGTGGAAGACGGTAAAAACGAGCTAAATTTCGAGACAAACTTACACTAATATCCTCCAGATCGAATCCGTCGCCACTGATCGAATTAACCGACGACATGGATGAGTGAGTAGAGCCGATGGTGTTGCAGAGACCACCCGAGTAGTGCGAGAAGCCCACCTAATAAAATATACGAATTATTTTTGAACAATGAACCGTCGGGAAGTCGAATAGCTGCTGCTCAGCCGGCGTCGAATTGCCGCTGACGTAGCCAGAGCTTGGGGTAGACTTGAGGACGCGGCTTCTAGCCCATTGGTCCGGGCTCGGGGTTCGGCCGATGTAGTCAAAGGCGGGCTCCGTCTTCAGCGGGAACGAGTTATCGAAGACCATGTCGCTAAAAGAAAAGTAAAATTAGAGAAACCGATGACATACAGAAGACTCGGCGGGCTGCCGGCGCGTTCCTTCAGCTTCTGGTCGATGGGCCACGAGGGGTGGGGGCGCAGACCACGGCTAGTAGTCGTGCCGTAGCGGCCGTCACCGGCACGCAGCGGCGTCTGTTGGTTGCCGCTGGGAGCACGAAGCTTCTGCATGTAGCTCTGCTTGCCAGGCTTCGGCTGCGGTACTCCATGGATCTGGGTGGCGTAGTTGGCCTCGGCGTGGCGGTTGGCGATTTCGGCTTGCTCAAAAGAAAAACTTATTAGAAAACAATAAAAATTGCTCGAGCATTTCACCAGAATAGCGCATAAATCATAATGGAGACAGACTCTAGCGATGCGCTGCCATTTTCTGTGATTTTGCGCAAAATCTCCACGGCAAGCTTTGCGCCGGCTAAATACACAGGAAATGGGACCATCCCAGAACAAGAGCATTTGCAGGAAGAGCTACAAACTTCCGTTTTCTTCCCAAAGAGCAAAAAGGTCTCCCATGAAGCAAAACAAATATACCTTATCCGGTCGAATATATGCGTCAATGTCGCCATTCTCAGCCTCAGGATGAATAAACAGACACCTAAGAACCCGTAAATATTCCGCAAGATATGAAAAACCTTTTTCCATAGGGACACACGCCTGTAGTCGTATACTTGTCGCACAACTTGGTTTTGTACTTGTTGACAGATTTCGGCAAAACCCTAAAACAAATTTAAAAAACAAGGCTGCTGCCTTACGCAGCCGGACGAAGCTCCTCCTCGCCGTGGGCAAAACGGCAATTCTCGTTGAACAGGCAGATCCTCGTCTCCAGCCACGACTGGCACATCACCGTCTTGTAGCAGTCCGTGCGACCCTTCTTCTTGCCATAGTTTCCTTGATTTTGGGAGTTAGCACTAAAGAAAAAAAAACGGTGTTTTGTAATAAATGGCTTACCCCAGGAATGCATAGATGGGCTGAAGCATTGCACTGGTTGATGCAGAAATGCTGAAAATGAATGTTCAGAAAGTGTAGTGGGATTGTGGCCACCAGGGAAAACAAAAATTTGAGGAAGCAAAAATGGAAACTACGAAGCCAAGAATGAGTGCCGATCATTTGCTACTAGTCATTAGCCAGCGGGATGTAGTCGCGCAAGCTGCAATTTACAGGCTAGGCGGAAGATTGCAATAAGGGGCCACCGGATGCGGTGCCAAACGCCAAAAATCAGAAAGATCGGGCAGCGAAAGTTGTACAGGAAAAGAGGACCAACGGCCGGGGGATATTTACAAAATAGTCTGAAGCACACTAACGCTATCTCGGATGCCCTCTTGCTAGCAGTGATATGGGCTAAGCGCGAGGTCACCGACAAACATTCAGGACGAAAACTTGCTGTACAGTTTAGGCGCGTTCTGCACAGCCGGGAGTAAAAATATAGCACTACTTTCGAGGTCAGCTGAAAGTCAGCTGGCTGACCACAAGACCCCGACAACTGTGCGCCCTCAGGGGATAAATCCGTTGCCAGCCGCTGCGAAAAATCGGCAAAATAGACGGCTAATTGCATCGCTATGCGTTTCCCAGTAACGCAGAAGAATGAGAAATACGGGTGCCCACACAATTGGAAAACCACCCTTTCAATTCGAAGCTCCCGCGTATTAACGACTCCATAATCCCAGGCGAAAAAGCAAATGATTCCCGCACCCGACAACGGATTGATCTGAGGAGAGCGCGTCTAAAAATGGACAGACCCCTTTGTATAAGTTCCTTCTGAACCATGAATGAACCGCCCCGGCCCTATACCAATGCCGGCTGTGTCAACAAGGAAAAAAGGGGGAGACTGGACGACGGCGGGAGAACAAAGAAAAATCCACAATTTCAAAACAATAGCCGCAAGTAAAGAGGAGGAAATACAACAAGCCGGAAGGCATCAACTGTTCCGGGGTCAAATCGCAAAAAATTTGGGCCGGGCGCAAGTATGAAAATTTCGACCAGGCGGCTGGGAGGAAATTTGAAAGTGCGACTAGGGAACCGGTCCAGGCGCGCCACAGTAGGGCTGCTAGCCAGACTATGGGAGCTGTGCGGCACGGCTAACATAGGCAGGGCATGCTAAAAAACAGGAACTCAAACCGCTCGGCTTCACGCGGCACAGGATCAGCCGCGAGCCACAGACGGCTTGTAAAAGCACCCGGGGATATAGATGCGCATTGAGCGTGGCGATGGCAAAAGAAAACAAGGCGCAGAGATCCTCACAAGCTATAGCCGAGCCCCGAATTCAGACTGTAATTTCGAGGCTTAGGAATCATACATTGCTGATCAAGAATCTCTAGTAGGTCCGGCTGTCAGGAGGAAATACCAATTAGAGGGTGCCGGCGAGCACCCTGCGCCAAACGAAAGCAGTCATTTTCCCGCCAAATCCTGGTCATGAACTTGAGTCGCGCCATGGTTTCACACCGCCCGGTGATCAAAGATGTGAAATGCGCGAGAGAACGTATAGCAGGCAATCAAATATCAGGGACAAGCGAGCGGTGATAATGCGCTAATTCATAGGGGAGAAATAATTAGGTAGGTGGCGCGACGATCGGAGCTAGCCTCACAGTGCATTGGGGCGAATGCAAGAAAACTGAATGCCATCCATCCTGGCAGACAGAAAGGGCTTCAAAGAACGAAACGAGGGGCAAGATCTCAATCCCCGCGGCAAATGGGGAAATCATCGCGAACATTTGGCGCGAAAGAAAATGGAAAAGACAAGGAAGATAAAAGAAAGACCTGCGCAGCGCAGTACGCTGACAACTTCATGACAGAGTTCGTAATTTGCATTGCAACGTTGTTCTTGCCCGACCGTAATTTGGAAACTTTCGTAGCGTAAGCATTTCAGTTTTCTGTTTTGGAAACTCTTTGTAAATGTGTTTTCTTTGTGTATGTCTGTATAACTCCCAAAAAATTCCTTCGTGTTCTGCGGCCCATGTATAGAAAAATCTTTATCCCAATCACAGAAATTATTAGATTCACAGGGGGAAAAGGCACAGCAAAACACAAGGGTACACGTAAGAGCTCTGGTCAAAACGAATGCGAAAACAGCGTGAAACGGTCGAAAATTGCACGATATTTGTATGACACGTAATATACTGAAAGCTGGAGGTGGGCGCCCGGATTCAAGCATGATGTGGGATTGTCGGCTTCTTGGGCTCGAAACCGTAGAGGAATGTCGAGAGGATGACGATCGTCGCACCGACAACGAAGGCCCTGAAAATAACGGTTTCGAAAAAGTATTGATATTTATCTTTCAGGGAAACGCAAATAAAAAACTTACAACGAAGGCTCGAAATCACCCAGGAAGACCCATGAGATGAAGGATGAGATGATGATTGAGAGGGACACGGCGAAGCCCTTGAGGATGTTGTCTGCGTACTTCACCACCAGCGCAATGACTAGACCTCCGTAGGCCTAAAAAAAAAAATAGGAATTTCTGGAAATAACCCAAAAATCTACCTGGAGGCCGACAACAACCCAGATGATGTTGTTATATCCTTGGAAAAAGCCGTTGGTGGAAATTGCCTCGCTGTCGTAGAGCCAGCACATGAAGAATCCACCGAAGATCGAGAAGAAAGCTAAACAAATGACCGAAACTGGGAAGTGGATTACCTAGTTGCAGATTCCTCATCCACAGTGTAACATTTGTCGTCTTGAGGATCTTTTCGAAATAGACGCCGGCAAAACCGGAGGAGAAGCAGGCGGCCAGGACAGCAAGAAGACCTAAACTCAACATTTAGAAACAGGTTAAAAATTCACCAATGAATTTGTCGGATGACCCTGCATCATCAACGGTCTTTTTCGCGCTGTCACCGGAGGGCATCTAAAAATACAACTATCAAAAACAACAATGAGTCACCTGGACAAGAGCAACGCCGGCGGTCAGCAATAGTAGGGCAACCCATTTTAACGGGTTCAATTTTTTGCTCAACATTGTCACGGAAAACACGGCCGTGGTGAGCAGCTTCAACTGGTATGAAACCTAGAATTTCAGTGTCATCGTTTCACTATTTTTACTGGACCTGATAAGTTGCGGCATCGAGCTTTGATAGGGCAAAGAAGAGCAAGTTATTCTGGACGACATAAAGGAATGCGGGCACGGCAATCTAAAAAGCAAACTAAGTAAAAAGCGATATCGTCATACCTTGAATGTCTCTTTTACATCGACAAGACAGTCCCTATGTACCTCGCCGTAAAATTGCGACCAGCGCCATTCTAAAGCAGTTTGAAAAGTAGTAGTCGGGGAACTGACTGTTATTATGCAGCAAAACCAACACGCATGTTACAATCTTGACAACTTCCGCGCTGACGACGGCTGTTGATGAAATATACCTCGGACCTTCATTTTTCTAAAGCGAAATTGGAGACATTCTAAATGAACCAACCTGAGTCCTCGAGTACCGCAATATCAAGACAAGTGCTGTCGTTTGGGCGATGAGTACGACAAGTGAGAGGTACTTCAGGCCGGGGTTGTGTGGTTGAGCTGTCATCGGCACCGGCCTGGCCTGAAAGTAACAAGTTTATTGGAAGCCGATTTCAAATGCGATTGCCAGGACAGAACCGGGGTGGAACAGTGGACCTGATGATGGGTTAGAGAACACCCGCGAGGACAACTTTCAAAAATGCACAGAATACTTAGCAAAATGACATTTGAAGGGGAATCGCACAGCTTACAACACAAAGGAATATTCTAAAAAACAATCATCTAGAACACGGCAAAGGTCTGGTCGCTAGAGCTTCGATGCGCCGGCTAGTCAGAACTTGATGAAATGCCACTTGTCGACGTCACCGGGTAGGTTTGCGGGTTGGCCAAGAGCCGGCTGCTTCTGCACTTCTTCGATACGCGCCTCGTAAGTAGTTTGGTGGACCGCATCCGGCAACACGGACTGCGTGTTGAGCTTCGGTGTAGGCTCTGCCATCAGCTTCTTCCAGAACTCGTGCGTCTCGGCAATCACCTTGTGCGCAAAGTCGGCCTCCTTGTAATCGCCGTTGAAGGCAAACTCGTTGGCCGGTTTCCCGGCCGGGATTTTGTAATGCTTGAACCAGTCGAAGGTAGCTTGCAACAAGCCGGGAAAATGCTTCTCAACATCGGCCGTGTTGCTCAACTTATCGGCTAGCGGATCGTCGAGGGCGATGGCAACAAGCTTCCAGTCGGTCTCTCCCTCGTCCAGTAGAGCCAATGTTGCCAGGACTTTCACAGGGACGACCTCGCCTCGCTTTCGGACAACGCTTCCGATTTCGACGACATCAATCGGGTCATTGTCTCCCTTGGCTCCGGTCTCGGGCACGGTGTGGTTAGGATCTTCCCAGGTCTGTGGAAGGGCTCCGTAGTTCCAGATGTAGCCACGGTGCGGGAAGATGTTGTGCACGAAACGAGGCAAGCCCTTCTTCTCGTCCTGCTTGATCGGGTTGAGCGGGTCCTTGGTGGCAATCTCCATCTTGGCGTTCGTCCACCTCGGAATTTCCACAATCATGTTGTAGGTTCTCGCCGCTTCATCGGCAAACAGCGGGATGTCGTGCCAGGGCGAGATGTAGCCATTCGGGCCCTTGAAGAAGAGCCGGTAGTCGAGCGAATAAATTGAGCCTCGTTCCTCTACGCTGTACTTGGGACCATCTCCAGCCATTTTGAAGGTCGACGACGTCAAAAACCTCAAAACAAAGGGGTAACTGGTGAAATTGAAAGCAAAACGACAAAAAAAGGAATAATGGACATTGAAGAGATGGTGTTTTACGTAAAAGTCTAGTATTTTGGCACACAGGGATGCAACACGCGGGGAGGAACGCACAAATCTATACCGCTTTTTTCGCATCGTCCTCAGACGGTCTCAACAGCCGCTTTTTATCCATTCGGCGCGAAAGTGGGGGTGCTTACGGGGATGGCTAGCCGTCGGAATCGCGAGTTTTAGTAAGTCGGGTGGCAATAAGCAAAAGTTGGTTCAAATCCGTTCAAACGTGGCAAGGCCGTGGAGAGGGGGGGGCGAGGGATTGGGGCGAAGGGGGAGAAGTGGGGCACCTGGGGACGTGTTATAGGACGAGCTGCTATGGGAACCAGAGCTGGCAAGTTGGAAAAAGAGCCATAGTCGCTGGAAAGACAGGAAAACAACTGAGCAAACAGGTTCGACGAGCTAGATGGATTGAGCAATTGAAACTTTCGTAAAGTTTTAGGGAAAAGGCCCATAAATCAAATTTTTCAAAGTTTGTGCAAAACAAAAATCGACATTCGTTTCTGGTGCTACGACAGACACCCTACATACGGGAAAACTAACTGTGGTGTCGGTTGTCGGGGCCCGGATAAAAGTTTAATTGAAGGGTTTATACACAAAATCCGAGTTGAAGTTTAAAATTTAATAAAGGGGTCGGATATATTGAGCAATTCAACTTTCGTAAATTTTTAGTAAATATTAAATTTACCAGTACAAGTGCAGTAAAATTTTAAATTGCTTCAAAAGGCGGACTTTCAAAAAGTTATCAAACGGAGATGAAAACGAAATTAATTTTTTGATGCTACACCACACTCCACTGTACGGAAAATCTCACAATGGCGTCCATCGTAGCGGCCCGAATTAGTAGCATGAAAAAAATACCGAAATTCTGGCTAAACTTTCATATGTCTGTAAGTTTTTAACTTATAGCCATTAGCATAAATATGAATATAAGACCCACAGAATCGGTTATCAAGGAAGCGCCCCGGGATTTCCCTAACTTTCCGAGTATAAAATAAAGCGGTTTCACCGAACCAATTACCCAAGACTTCTCCACAACTCACGACATGGGAGACAAATCGGCCTACATGACGCCCGGCGGCTACAGCGGCGGTGGTGGTGGCGGCGGCGGAGGTGGCGGAAGCTATGCCCGGTAACTTTGCATACTCCATGTTTCAAAGCCTTATCTGGTTAAACAAAACTTCGTGTTACAGCGAAGACTACGCTTTCGGCGGTGGCAGCTACGGAGGCAGCAGCGGCGGAGGCGGTGGCGGAGGTGGCGGCGGCTCGTCGACCCCCGGCGTGACGAAGCCCCGCACTGATGTTTCGTGCTACATGGGACCCTGCTGAGCGACGCCCACCCGTTCCCCTGCTTCATCATCGAGCCCAATAATAAAAAGCAGACCCGTTTCGCTGCAGCATTTTTGGATAAAGTGTTTTTGAGTTTTGAAGTGATGTGATGGCTTATTGGAGTGGATTGTCCTTTATGGAATGTGTTACATAACGAGTTATGAGGAGTCAACCCTAAAAAATATGATTTCAAGCCTGTGCATAGCAGGGGACAACACCTTTTCATGCAACGGTCAGATCTATCTGGATCTCGCGTCGTCTCTCAAGATGTAGAAGAGTTAATTTGGCTTCGATTTCGCTAGGGCGAGCGTTTTTCGCCATGCTTTTTGGATTCTACATATAAAACTACACCGGAATCTGCCTTCAGATGATTTTTAGAAATCGAGAGAGGGAGAGAAACATATTGCCGTGTCCTGGAAAGTGCAAAAAAGCAACTGTACTCGCTCTAGGATACCCAAAAAGTGAAAGCCACTTTGCCCTATTACCCAACGATAATCATGCACTTTTAAGACAACGTTCCGCGGGTCGGGTACCCGATTTCTCAACGTTTGAGGTATTTTCCTAAAGGGACTGGGAAGACACCCGAGAAAAACAGCTGTGAGGGCTGTTGACAACCGGCTTGGGGGGTGTCCCGTTTTGCGCAGAAGAAAGAGGGGAGGAGGGGCCATGTGCCTGCACTTTCTGTTTATACCCTTGGTCGGGCGGCCGAGTATAAATAGGCCGGGGTGCCACCCCGCTAAATATTGACCGGCAAGCCCGTGGGCAGCTTTTGACAAGGCTTCGATTTCGTAATAGCAAACTTTTGACGGCTTGAAAAGCTTGGCTCAGGTCTGAGCTTTGGCTTAATGCTAGCAGCCTTTGATTCATTGAAAAAGTTATTCTCATTTTTGAAAAAGATTTTCAAATAATTTTTATGTATATTTTACATTAATTTTCGCAGAAGAAGACTTCTACTTTATAGTTTATAACCCTTTTTAACAGTTTTTTTTCGCGTTTGCTAATTTTTACTTTCCAATCATTTCAAAAATTTAAAAATGTTCAATACAAACGAATTTCTAGCTGACTTCTCAGAATTTTTCTATAATTTTGGGAAACACGGCCTTTACCAAAAGTTTTCGATTCCACCCGCTTATTTTTTTAAAAATTTTTGGTTTACAAAAACCCAGTAAAGCCAGAAAATAACAAAAAAAATATATATTTGTAACTTTTCTCGTCATGAAATGTCTTAAATTTTGCAATTAATATAATACCCACTAAGTTTCAGCTTACAAAAACAACCCCAAAACCCCCGCAAAAATGGAAGGAGTACGCACCGGAGCCACGATGGCCGATCAGATCAACGAGGGTGGGTGGAAGAGTTATTGTAATCGATTAAAAAAACCTAAATAAGATTAAAGCTATCTTGATTATCAATTTCTGCTATTTTTATTTATTTTTTTTTAGAAATGCTCGATCGCAACAACGAGCCTCTGAATGAGGCGCGCGAGGAGCGTCGCCAGTCGTTCACGACGCCGCCCGGCCCGGGAGGCTGTGGTGGGTGACTTTAAAAGTATAATAAAGTTAAATTCAGTTAAACTTGCTTAAATAAAGCTAAATGCTGAATTAAAAAGGCATATAACCATTTTGTGAACCATCGGCCTTCAGAATACAACCTCACCGGCAAGGGCTACTTTGGCTTCCACGGCAACGACGATCAGGAAGGCGTCTTCTCCGGCATCAAGCACGCCGTCCAGGGCATCGGCAAGGCGCTCACGTAAGGAAATTTCAATTCAACAAATTCAACAAGTTGTAGCTCGGAATCGAGAACAAATTTTATCGTATCGATTTTTACTGAAATTTGAAAATTTTGCCACTTTTTAGTTTTCAAAATAGTTTTTTCCTCTTGAAATATCGCTATATTTTATGAAAATCAGCATAGGCTATTTTTGTTTTGCGTTCTATTTTGTTTTATCAATTTCTCGATTCTAGCGAGGGCGCGCACCACGGCGGAGCTGAGGATAAGGACGTCCCCTTCAAGACGAGCGTCTTCGGCAAGGACGAGGACGAGCAGCAGCGACACGTCGAATAAATCGCCTAATTTATACATGTACAAAGTAGCCACGTGTATCCCATGACGACATTATTTTTTTTTTAATGACGATCTGCATATTGTCAAAACTTTTGATGCGTGTACATAAATCGCATTTTGTAATTTGTGGTTGTAAAAGCACTGGAATTCGAAACGTCACAACAAAAAAATACGGTAATAATTCTCGGAACTGGACTATTATCGAGGGGGGGGGGGGGAGAGGACTTAGCGGGATTTTATAGCTCTACCAGGTTTTCTATTATAGAAAGATCATAGAAACATACAATTTTCCGAAAATGTTGCTTTTTGGTCAAAATTTGTAAAAATCTTTAAAAACCAACATTTTTTACAATTTCTTAAAACGTCTTTTTGGCCTTTTAGTAACCCAAAATTAGGTAATACTATGAAAAACAACACATAAGACCAAAAATTTTTCTAGCTGCGTTAGCGCACTAAAACCACCACCACCACCCCCCGCTAACAAGCAAGTACCGTGTTTCTCGAAAGTAAATTGATAAGGTATTTGGTGTTCAATTTTATCAGGCGCTATTTTTTGCAGAAGCCCGGTGCCAAAAATAATCGATAATTGGCCCGGGGTGCCCCGACCTGCCGAAATGATAAGCCGAAGGAGTTCCGGGCCGGGTGCCGCTTTTTAAAGGATACGGAATGCTGCGAAGAACGCTAATATTAATATCTGGATTTTTCTGCGTTTTTGAAGCCTCGGATTCTATAGAGCGAATCTTGGGTGTAAGGTATGCTGAGCCGTTGGAGCGACGATATACGGTAGGGCGACTTCGTCGCTTAGGCTTAGGCTTTGGCTGGGGCCTAGGATAGGTTTAGCTTCCGAGTTTCAGGATTCCCGCCTCATTTCGAAGTTCATAAGGCCAAAAGCTAACGATTGGCCGAATCGTTGTATTGTTGATCGACCGGAGGAAGGTACTTCCGAAGATTGCCTATTTCTGTCCATTTTAAAGCATGCTGAAGCGGAGAAGGAGGTACAGCCGGTCAAAAAATTTAATATTTTTATTCAGACCCCAGCCCTTGTCTATATCACAAATGAGGCGTTGAGCGAGGAAAAGTTGGCCAAACTTGTTAAGAAGGAATTGACAATTATCGTGGCGCACGTACGGCAAGGGGTATACGGTAGGTTGGTTAGGTCTAGGCTTGACTTAGGCCTAGTCGTAGGCTTAAACTTAAGCTTAGGCTTGGGCTTGGGAAGTACTCAAATCCAGATTTTTTGCAATCTTCAGCAAGCTACAACGAAGAAGTCTACTCCGATTCCGATCTCGAAAATCTCTTCAAATTCCTGACCAACCAAAGGGATTCCCTAGGCATTGGCCCGATTACCGTACTCGCCGAGGAGTACCTGGCCGAGGCGGTCAGTCGCGTGCTGGAGAAGCTCGGTAAGTACCAACATTTTTTGCCTATCATTTATTTATTTTGGACGTCCAGCGTGCAATTCTGTTTGGTGGCAATGCGTTGACCAGGACTTATGGCCGTGAGAGGTAATTTTAAGGCCTTAAGCGTACAACAGGAACCCAAAACACAAAAATTAAGGTTCGCAAGTCGAGTGGCTTCGAAATTGAAGCGACTGTCGAGCTGTGATCTGCCTTCGGAAGAGCAGGTAGGAAAAAAGCTGGGCTAGGCTGAGGCTTTGTCTAGGCCTGGCTTAGGGCGTCCGGTCACTACCCCGAAAAGTCACTACCGGGAAAGTCACTACCCCGAAAAATGATAGCATTGTTTTTTCCGGAAAAATCCAGTTTTCATGCGGTTTTCCTATGAAAATCATGCAAATTATTTCGGGGTAGTGACTTTTCGGGGTAGTGACTTTTCGGGGTAGTGACTTTTCGGGGTAGTGACTTTTCGGGGTAGTGACTTTTCGGGGTAGTGACTTTTCGGGGTACTGACTTTTCGGGGTAGTGACTTTTCGGGGTAGTGACTTTTCGGGGTAGTGACTTTTCGGGGTAGTGACTTTTCGGGGTAGTGACTTTTCGGGGTAGTGACTTTCGGGGTAGTGACTTTTCGGGGTAGTGACTTTTCGGGGTAGTGACTTTTCGGGGTAGTGACTTTTCGGGGTAGTGACTTTTCGGGGTAGTGACTTTTCGGGGTAGTGACTTTTCGGGGTAGTGACTTTTCGGGGTAGTGACTTTTCGGGGTAGTGACTTTCGGGGTAGTGACTTTTCGGGGTAGTGACTTTCGGGGTACTGACTTTTCGGGGTAGTGACTTTCGGGGTATTGACTTTTCGGGGTAGTGACTTTTCGGGGTAGTGACTTTTCGGGGTAGTGACTTTCGGGGTACTGACTTTTCGGGGTAGTGACTTTTCGGGGTAGTGACTTTTCGGGGTAGTGACTTTTCGGGGTAGTGACTTTTCGGGGTAGTGACTTTTCGGGGTAGTGACTTTCGGGGTACTGACTTTTCGGGGTAGTGACTTTTCGGGGTAGTGACTTTTCGGGGTAGTGACTTTTCGGGGTAGTGACTTTTCGGGGTACTGACTTTTCGGGGTAGTGACTTTTCGGGGTAGTGACTTTTCGGGGTAGTGACTTTTCGGGGTAGTGACTTTTCGGGGTAGTGACTTTCGGGGTAGTGACTTTTCGGGGTAGTGACTTTTCGGGGTAGTGACTTTTCGGGGTAGTGACTTTTCGGGGTAGTGACTTTCCGGGGTAGTGACTTTTCGGGGTAGTGACTTTTCGGGGTAGTGACTTTTCGGGGTAGTGACTTTTCGGGGTAGTGACTTTTCGGGGTAGTGACTTTTCGGGGTAGTGACTTTTCGGGGTAGTGACTTTTCGGGGTAGTGACTTTTCGGGGTAATGACTTTTCGGGGTAGTGACTTTTCGGGGTAGTGACTTTTCGGGGTAGTGACTTTTCGGGGTAGTGACTTTTCGGGGTAGTGACTTTTCGGGGTAGTGACTTTTCGGGGTAGTGACTTTTCGGGGTAGTGACTTTTCGGGGTAGTGACTTTTCGGGGTAGTGACTTTTCGGGGTAGTGACTTTTCGGGGTAGTGACTTTTCGGGGTAGTGACTTTTCGGGGTAGTGACTTTTCGGGGTAGTGACTTTTCGGGGTAGTGACTTTTCGGGGTAGTGACTTTTCGGGGTAGTGACTTTTCGGGGTAGTGACTTTTCGGGGTAGTGACTTTTCGGGGTAGTGACTTTTCGGGGTAATGACTTTTCGGGGTAGTGACTTTTCGGGGTAGTGACTTTTCGGGGTAGTGACTTTTCGGGGTAGTGACTTTTCGGGGTAGTGACTTTTCGGGGTAGTGACTTTTCGGGGTAGTGACTTTTCGGGGTAGTGACTTTTCGGGGTAGTGACTTTTCGGGGTAGTGACTTTTCGGGGTAGTGACTTTTCGGGGTAGTGACTTTTCGGGGTAGTGACTTTTCGGGGTAGTGACTTTCGGGGTAGTGACTTTTCGGGGTAGTGACTTTTCGGGGTAGTGACTTTTCGGGGTAGTGACTTTTCGGGGTAGTGACTTTTCGGGGTAGTGACTTTTCGGGGTAGTGACTTTTCGGGGTAGTGACTTTTCGGGGTAGTGACTTTTCGGGGTAGTGACTTTTCGGGGTAGTGACTTTCGGGGTAGTGACTTTTCGGGGTAGTGACTTTTCGGGGTAGTGACTTTTCGGGGTAGTGACTTTTCGGGGTAGTGACTTTTCGGGGTAGTGACTTTTCGGGGTAGTGACTTTTCGGGGTAGTGACTTTTCGGGGTAGTGACTTTTCGGGGTAGTGACTTTTCGGGGTAGTGACTTTTCGGGGTACTGACTTTTCGGGGTAGTGACTTTTCGGGGTAGTGACTTTTCGGGGTAGTGACTTTCGGGGTACTGACTTTTCGGGGTAGTGACTTTTCGGGGTAGTGACTTTTCGGGGTAGTGACTTTTCGGGGTAGTGACTTTTCGGGGTAGTGACTTTCGGGGTACTGACTTTTCGGGGTAGTGACTTTTCGGGGTAGTGACTTTTCGGGGTAGTGACTTTTCGGGGTAGTGACTTTTCGGGGTACTGACTTTTCGGGGTAGTGACTTTACCCCCTGGCTTAGGCTTGGCCTAGGCTTAGGCTTATGCTTAGGCCCAGATATACCTTTCAGTTGTTTTTTAGGCATTACACTGTCTCCGAGCGCTTCCGGTTGCTGACTTTGCACAGAATGCGCAAGAAATAAAGGCTAGGCAATTTTCAGATACGTTTAATGACGTATTCAGGAGTTATTCTACCCTTTTGGGGACCCATATCGAGTTCCAAAGTTGCGAAAAACCAAGAACCGGCAGATTCCGACAATGTACGGGTTGTGGAAAAAGGAGGCCCCGGAGAGACACGGTTGGTAACAGACTTCTCTCTCTCTCGCTCTCTCTCTTTCTCTCTCTCGCACTACCTGCTTTTTAGTCTATCCCACGACCACCAACTTCACAGCCGACTTCGACTACCGCAACTTCAAGCAGTTCCTGGCCGGTCTCATCCCGGATGCCAGTCAGTGTTTTACAGATTCCGCTGCTTAAGCTAAGCCTGAGCATAAGCCTAAGTCGATGCTTAAGCCTAAACCTAAGCCAAACAATCATTCCAAGTTTAGCGTACCAAAACGGACCCCTCGTACGCCGCGTGGCCCTCCATCACTACGTCCACACCAAAGGCGACAAGAAGGACACCTATTTCCTCTTTGAAGCCATGAGAGAAGTGAGTTCGTCAAAGCTAATTTTAGGCGCATTAGTAGATCCACGCGTTTCTATAGATCCTGTCTTCCCGGTACCTTCAAAACACAATTTTCAGATGCTCTGGGACCGGGATTTTGCCGTCCCAACCGACAGGCTTATCGCCCATTTCACCAAATCCAAAGCCAACCAAGTCTGGCTGTTCCAGTATGGGATTGATAATCCACCGAAAAGTGGGTCTAAATGCTTTATCATTATTTTAAGCAACTGTAACTACGCAACGTTGCAAATTGCGGGCTTTAGACTGCCTTCAGGACGGCGGCTGGGAGGACATCGAACCTTTTTGTACTCGATTGCTAGGATATTACACGAGATTTGCATCGAAGGGGTAGGTCGCGCGGGGCGCGGCTCAGTCTTAGCCTTTGGCTCAGGCTTAGGCATAGGCTTAGGCTTACGAAAAAATATTCAACGTCTAGGAAACCTACTGAAGAAGGCTGCTCGGCCACGAATCCCAGCTTTCCGGCCCTCGGCACGTCGAAAAGGGATTATTTCATCAGGATACATGTGAGAAAATTTACAGGCTTTCCGGCTGGCTGAAGGCTAGGCTTAGGCTTGGGCTTAGGCTTATGCTTAGCCTTCGCTTATGTTTATTATTTTCTTCAGAATTTAAGCCTTTTTTCGCTTCCAGGCTGACGGCACCCCCGAATGGGACTTTGACTTCTACCGATCATCAGTGGCATTTTGGCGCGATTTGGTAAGCCTTTCTAGACTCTGACTCGGCTACCGTACCCGTTTAAGGCTCCAGACCTCGGCCAAATCGAGTTGGCCGGCCGCAGAGATGCAGTTTTTCAAGAAGTAGAAGAGCCTGATCCGCTCGAGGAGTTTGATGACGTCCAGGTGAGTAGCCCTCGATTTTTTTTCTACTTGTTTTCAGCCCTGGCATGTCAACCAGGCTCGGGAAAACGCGCGGATACTTGGCGAGCAAGCGGGGGAAATTAAGGAAGAATTGTAGTTTGGTGTACTGTGTAGTTGTCTTCAATAAACTGTGCGCTACCAAATCCATTTTATTAATTAAAGCCGATCGCGCAGCTCCACTTCCGGTTTTCGCCTGGAGATGCCGAGTACGCGTTTGCCGTGTCGATTGTTGAACTGGAAAAGCTGGGGTGTAGGTAAAGGGGGGCGGTGTTAAAGGGGTAGCGACAGAAACAGGTCAGACTGGTGCCGATAACTGATATTAAAAAGATTAATTAAATTGTTATTAACAAAAACTATACCCCAATCTTCGTCCTCAACTCGTCGTCATTCAATAGTCGGGCTAGCTTTGTGGGTGGTCGAATTCCTAAAAATCCTTCGTTGTATCGTTACTCTATCAATCTTAAGTCTAGCCTAAGCCTAAGCCTAAGCCTAAGCCCAAGCTTAACACCCACCGGGCGGCATGGCATGGCCACGACTTTGTTCGGTAGACAGCGGTCGAGTTCTCGGGGTTGGCGGCGCAAGTTGGACCATTTGGTTGTCCTAAAAATATTGAGATTTTGACTAGACTTTAAAATACAGCAATTTCGAATCCGAAGAACTGGCGCAGCTCCTCGTGATCCTAAAACTCAGATAAATTGGGGGGAAAATGTGAAAATTGATACCTGGAATCCCTGGCTTGCCACTAGAGCTAGCAATAGGCAAAGCGGGACTATCGTGCTCAACATTTCGAAATTGGAGCCTGAAATTGGCGCTGGTACAGGAAAGATGAAAAGCGGAAGGAAGCTGGAAAGCTCATCAAAAGTTTGAAGATGGGATGTATTGCTTGGCGACCAATTTTTTGGAAATGAGGCAACTTTGCGGCGGTTATTTAAGAAAGAAATCCGCTAAAAAACTCAACTCAGAATTTGACCTTCCTGGAAAGTCGTGAAAAATTTGCCTTCCCACGTCGTTATGTTGCGTAACGGAATATTTCACGCAGTTTGTGCGGTACTCGGAAAGACCTCGGTCGGCGCGGGTTTAAAAAAATTGAATCCTACTATATATAAAAAAATAGTGTCTGTGTGTGCCACTTTGCATCCACTTCCGTCTGTCTGTCCGGAGGATATCTCGAAAGGGGATGTATTTTAAGGTATCTATGATACGTCATTAGGTGCGTAATGGCCTGGAGATGACTGCACGCTTAACAGATTTAAGAAAACCACCTATTTTCGACATTAAATTTAAGTTTTTATGAAAAGTTCTTTGTTAGGGACAATTAGCATTGACCGGAATATGGGATCCGACTATATAAATGGACAGGGGAGGCCGTTTTTCATTCTTTTGTCATCCGAATTTAGGGCATTATGCAAAGTGAATGATAAAATGGGGTCCCACGGGGCCAGGGTTGAAAAGTCGCGAAACGGCTTTTCAACCCTGGTTCATCTTCAAAAATGCTGAAAGATGGCAGAACCGGATTCCCAAAAACCGTGTTTTCCGGAAGTACAGTGGTCTATCTGAGCAGAAAAATATTCTTAAGTTAAAAAATCGAAAACATTAGAAAAGGCATAGAGTTTTCAGCCTTAATTACCGGAATTTAAAAACGGAGCGGGTGAGCCACGTCTTTCCGGTTGCAGAGCTGCAGCGGAGCTTTCCGGAATTTCTAGTAGACTGTCTAAATGAAAAAAATCCCAAATTCTTTTTCAAGAATAAAAAAATAACTTAGCAAAATGCCTAGTTTTAATTTCCAGAATTTAAAAACCGGCTACGGAGATGCTTTCCGGTTGCAAAGATCCAACCCCAGCTTTCCGGTATCATTCGATTCCAGGGTGCCGCCCCCAATTCGGCAAGTTGCATGCGTATTCCTGCCCACGCAAGTTCACCCTCCATTCCGAGTTGATACTAGTAATCGGGGAGACCCGAGAGGAAGATACACCGGCAGGAAAAGAGATAAAAAGCTCTCATGGCTTGTAGTATCTTGCTCCTCCTCACAGGATCCTGGCAGTCTAGCCGGGCAAAGGTGTCCTTGCCCGGGGTTTATCACTCCCGGTACTATGCTGGAATGGTTTTTTTTGGGAAAACACTGGTGCATCCGTTGTCTGGATGGCCGCGTAGTGGTTGGCAATAAACTCGAGGAGGTGAATGTACGCTTCCGGGTCGAATGGCAAGCCTAGATTGGTCTAAAAGGTCACAAGAAAAACAAAAAAAAATGTAGCCAACATCTTCATAGAAACTGAAAAGTGGAAATTAAATTGAAATGATAATCTACATCGAAGTAAGGATAAAATACAACTTCTCACCCCAAAAACTCGCTAAAAATCAACTCGAAATGCAGCAAAATCGTCAAAAATGGGCCAAACCCCAAAAATGTACCTAAAAATCGTCGTCATCAAGTACAGAGTGGAAAATAAACTAGAAAATAACAAGCCAGAGGATAAAATACAATTTCTAGCATCCGGGCTGACTTATTTTTCAGCAGCGCCTGGGAAATCGGCTAGCTGGGTGCGCGGAAAAGCCCCAAAGATCGTTTTTACAATTTTTTTTACTTGATTTTTTCATATAAAAAAGATATTTTGAGCCGCCAATTGCCTAAAAAACGTACGGAAAACGCTCTCGAGATTTTTAGATCCTGAAAAATCAGAAGAGGTTGTCCTCTTTTCAAAATTTGATAAATTCTGTCTGTTAAAAAAATAGGTGCTAAAGTAAGTAAAAATAATTCGGTATACAGGCTTAACCTTTTAACTCGGGTTTAGCACGCTAAAAAACGATACAAATTGGGCCATTAATGCACAGCCGGCCACTAGAATTTACCCTACAAATGACGCGAAACTTTATTAGTAATCACCTCCCTTTTTATACCCAAAATCTCATCTATATTTCCGCAATCTGGCCCCCGGGGACTTCAGAAGAAAATGGTGGTGGTGGTGTGATGGCGCAGGTGCATCTGGGGCTTCTCCCCGCGACGGCCCAGCCGGCCTGTTGATTGCCAATTACAAGGGCCCACTGGGCCTGACGGCTCATATTTGTAATCTTCAAAAATGCATTCCGCGTCTTTCCTAGCAACGGACGCATTGTCTAAACTTGTTTGCGAAACTTTGGATGAGGCGACGCCAAGAAATCCATCCATCAAAGTGTAATTTTGTGTTGTTTTTAGGGCGTAGACTTGAAAAATTCATGTTTCTATCTATCGTTCTCTCTCTCTCGCTCTCTCTCTCTCTCATTCCTCTCTTTCTCTATCTCCCGACCATGTTTCTTTAGGCTTCATGTTTCTAATATAAATAAACGAAAGTTAGTACGATAGCCTCTTCAGTGTTTTAATATTTCGTAAATGCAGAAACTTTACAAATTTTAATCAACAACACTAAAAATATCGGCTTTTAGACCAAAGTTTGAAATTTTAACATGCTTTCAAAGTCACTAAATAGTTCTTCCGCTTTGAATTTCTAAGTTTTACCAAAAATTACTATTAAAATGCGTACTATTACATCAATACGCGGATCTGAACTTATAGGAAAAATCCCCACATTTGAAATACTGATAAAGCTTGCCTTACAAAGAAAAGATATCCACACTTTCTCATTTTGACCTGAGATTTTTCATTCAATACTTTCCGAAACCCTCGTTCTCTTCCAGACCCTAAAAACCAAAAATAATCCCCCCATCACTAGAGATCCGCTAATCCCATCGTTACTCTACAGAAATCTAGGGTTTCCCCTATCGTTTTTGGTTCCGCGAAGCCCCGGGCCAGGTTGTCGTCGACGCCGAGCTGCCCCTCATTTTCCCCCCACCTAGACGGGCTTATGAAAGTTTGGCATCTGACTTCGGCGCCAACCCCCCTCGACTTTCACCTGTTTTCTGGCGGATACGGTGGCTCGACAGGTGCAATCGAGAAAATCGGCCGGGCCGGGTTACTCAAAACGCTAGCTCGCACCGGTTATTTTGGTCCATTTTCGCGAGTTTTTTTCCCCGTTGGTTCTGATGAAATTGCGTTTTTGCTCTTCCATTTCTAAACTTTGGCTTAAAAACTGACAAAAAATATTTTTTTTTAAAGTTCAACTAAAAGATGCAGCATCGAATCACCTTCTTCAGCTCGTTCATCTCAGCGGGTAGGTCAAAAAAAATTGGCGCTTTTTGTGGTTAGCGGGACGGTAGAGTTTTTTAAGCCTAAAAAAGCTTACGCCTGAAAAGCTTTAAAAAATAAGAAAACTTTGGTTCACTCGTGGGGCTGGTCGGGAATTTATCGCTCCTGTAGTTAGAACGCCTGGAAGTAGTTTTAGAACCTAAAAACTACCTGGAAAGCTTTAAAATCCAGAAAAGTTCGTTCCTTTCGGAGGATAAGTCGAGAATTGAGCGCTACTGGTCGGACCTGGTAGTAATACCTACGAGTTTTTCGAACCTAAAAAATACCTAAACTTCCAAAATTCAGGAAAAACAAATCTGATAATTTCACCCCTACAACCCATTTTAGCGCTGGCCATCAAATGTATGCAGTGCACCGGGTGGTCGTGGAATTACCCCGGAAATCAGGTGAGCCGATTTGCGCCAGATTTTTGAACCTTTTCCGGGTTTTTCCGAAATAATGCATTTTTAAAATGCTTTCCAGGCCAGTCCGTGCGACAACCAGAACGCCCAGTGCAACTCGGATCAGAACATGTGCGTGCGGATCACGGATCCGATGCGCCCGGGCGCCAGCTACGAGACGTTCAAGCTGGACTGCTGGTGGGGGGGACGAAAAACGGGTTTAAAGTGCAATTTAAATTTTATAAATCCGTAAGAAAGGCAAACTAGCGAACACCCTTTAGGAGCCAAAGTACGCTGCAGATCACCCCGGGGACGAATCAGCCGATCGTCGCCGGCCAGTGCTACAGCTACCAGGACGGCTCGAACCCGCCGAAGCGGTCAGTAGCAGCGTAACGACATTCAGCCCTTGTTCAGGTACAAGTACTGCTTCTGCAACAACGTCGACTACTGCAACGGCGCCGGCAATCTACAGGTGTTCACCGCCGTGCTGCTCGTCTTCGTCTACAAGCTTTTCCTCTAATTTAAAAGCCGAAGCTCTTTTCTAAACTTTAAAAAGCCTGACAAACCAAACTACTTTGTGAACCGACTATTCATACTTTTCAAATGTAATCATACCGTGTCTCGTACTGCAATGCGCTTTCCACCGAAAAAACTTTAAGTATATATTTATTCTAAAGTACATAAAAATAATTACCCGTAAAAAGCAAAACCAGAGATATACATAACATTGGAAGGAAACTAGGGCAAAGGCTACAGGGACAATTAAAAATAGGGTACAAGCAACAGGGGATGGGGATAAGTTGAGGCATCTGGGGATGGGGATGGCCCGGCGCTGTCGCCGCGACCGGGTCCCTAGTTTTTTGCCGGCTTGAAGCTGACATTGCCCTTGGCGTCGGGGGTGAAGCCGTGCGGGGCGAGCCACTCGACCAGCTCCTGCTTGCCCATGCTGAACCACCGGCAGAGGACGGTGGCGCTGATGGGCATAGCGCAGTGACTGAAAAAAAGACGTTTGAAAAGAACTTTAAAAGTTTAAAGAACCCTTGAAATTACACGAAAAAAAAACGCGGCCCCAATTTTGGGTAAAGCCCTAAAAAATCAACGCTAAAAACTCACGATGCGCCGAGGACATCGAGGAAAGCCTTGCGTTCCCGGTCGATGAACATGTCCATCAGGTAGCCGCACATGCGTGGCGCGTGCTCGGCCAGCTTGAGAAGCTTCGGGTAGTTCTTCCTGCCAACCGCCTCCCGTACCTTCAGCGCATACTCCATACACTCGTCCTCGCGCATCTCGTCGGTGACGTCTAAAAAAACGAGTTCATCAAGCAATACCAAAAATCCCACCTCGCAACAAATTCATCACGTCGGTCCCGTTGTTCATGTAGATGAAGTAGAGCAGGCGGTAGGCTGTGAACTCATTTCTGTGCGGGCACCCCTCCTCCACATCAGCGTAAAGGCTCTTTAGCTGGTTTTGGCACTGGTTGAACTCCTCGCGGTCCTTATTTTCCAAACAAATGCGCGCATGCGTCTCGTAGACCAAAACCGTGAAGGCGTTACGGATGCGTTGCACCTAGGAGGGGGTCAAATAGAAGTTGTCAGTAAACTTTTTCTGTATTGTCGATTTTGCCAATGCAAAAATAGAAGAATTGCCTCTAAAACGTTTTCAAACTCTTTTTAAACGTACAACCCCTCAAACTAAAAATTTTCTCGACAAAAACTCAAACTTTAAGCCCTCCCCAAATTTTGTGAAAGCACCTAGGTACAATTTCCCGCAACTAACCGTTAAATCCTGGCGAATGCTGCGAAGTTGGCTGGAGACAAAGGAGTACTCGGTCCCAGACCGGTATTTTTCTTTCACAAACTCCAGCGCCTTCCTCAACACGGGCAGAGGGCGAACCAGTGACGGATCGGGAGCCTAAACAGAAAAAAACTCGTATTAAAAAAAAATAGTCTTACCGCGGTGAGCCTAAAGAAGGCTTTTGGGATCGTCTGGCACGTCCCGTGGATTACCGGCTGTCGTGTCCTTACCGTCGGGTTGAAGGAGAGCGTGAAGGAGGGCTTCGTCGTGTTTTCTTGGGATTTTGAGGCAAACCTAAACATACATGTACGACACGCTCAATAATCTATACCTTGCGCCACGGGCATTCAACTTGTCCGTATTCACATCCACTTGCCATCGGTCCTTCTTTTGTTGCTGCTTCTGCGCCTGGAGCTGCATCTGGCTGTAGACCTAAAAAGGTTTTTAAATTCGTTGAAAATAAATACAAACCTTTTGATGCTCATTCTGCTTTCCTAGATGTTGCTCAACCGACTTCTTAGCCTTCTTTGCCTAAATAGAAAATAAATGAAAACATATTGAAAACTGCGAATTTTGAAACGGAATCACGATAATTTTAGGGGATTATCTTAATTTTAGGTTTTAACCAAAGACCCGTGCTCTGAACCTTGTTGCTATAATCGGTAGCCGTAGCTGCCGCCTGGTCGTGCTCGCGGCGCTTGCGCTCCTTCTTGCTCAGCTTCTTCTCCGGGGTGGACATCTCGTCGGAGCGCCGCGCTTTTTGGCTGTTATATTTCCCGGGCAATTGGTGGGCCGGTGTCCACATCGTCTTGACTTGAAAATTGAGTGTGTGGGGCAACGGTTCGTTGTCCCAGTTGATGATGCCGGCCGTGCCGGAGGAGAGGAGCGGCCGAAGCCGCTTCTCAAGGTACTCGGTAAGCCTGGGGGCATCTTTGTCTTCGATGGCCATGCGCGCGCGCTGGATGTAGTTCCTGGAAAAGGGTGGTAAGTGAAGAACAACACAATAGCACAAGATAACGTTCTTTCGCAATATCGGGGAAGGAGGTAATTTTCTTCCTAAAAGTCCAGTCAAGCCTAGCAATGTTTTAATACTATTTTGCTCGAGTTTAACTTTCAGCGCCAAAATTATTAGAAAAGCTATAAAAATGCGAAGAATTTTTAGTCAAAAAATAAAGAATGTTCTATTTTTCAACGAGAAATTTGCAGTTTTTCGTTTAGGACAGCTCCGAAAAATGCCTTCCGATATTGCGAAAGAATGCCCCAATTAAATCAAAACTCACATCACAGACGGAGGGGCGCCAGCAAACGGTCCACCGCCGACCGGGACGGCCGTGCCGGGCACGACCATCGGACGCGGGTTGCTCGAGACAAAGCTGCTGTTCAACGGCTTGATCGCGAACTTGACGGGCCGTTGGCCGGGCGGTTGACCGTAAGTGTGGGGCATCGTTTGGTACATGTTGTTTGGGCCATTGTTCATTGGCGGGCCCTGGAAGCGCTGATGGGGCTGCGGGTTCCAGGAGTTGTTGCGTGGTGGCTGCTGCTGGTTCGGCACGGGTCTTTGACCATACGGGGAAACGGTATATGGGTTCGGGGGCGTCGGGGCGTTGTTGGAGGCGACCGGCGAAACCGTACCGAGCGCGGCCGCCATCCATGGGTACTGTTGCATTAGGCTGGGAGGCATCGGCGGCTTCTTCTGCGGCGTGTTGTTGTAGCCCATCCGGTGTAAGGCGTCTTGGGCTGACTTCCAGGCGGGTTGATGCTCGACGGGTTGCGACGGTAGCGGGATCTCACTGAAAATGGCAACATGTTGAAGAAATATGTAGTTTCCACAAAGGAAATATAAAATTTCGTACTTTTTGTAAACCGAAGATTTTCCAAATTTTGACAAAATTATATTTTTGCTGCGGAAAAAGCTATTTAGAAACTTGGCAAAATGTTCTCGACTTTTCGAAAATCAACAAACAGTCTACACACAGGAACAGTCCAGTTTTCCCCTAGACACAAAAACCGAAAGTTAACAAATCGAATTTTCGACAAATACACAGATCAAATAAAATGCAGGCAAAGTATTCAACTCACCTAAGTCCATCCATCATGGCGCCCAGCGAATCCTAAAACTTCACCAAGCTGCGAGAGATCGGAATCTGAAATCAACCGTTGAATCTTTGGAATCGGAAACTTTGAAGAAATGAAGACAAAGATAAAAATCAGAATTGAACGAAAGGGAAATGAAAAGAGGAAATGCGGGCAAGGTGATCGAAATGTGATCGATTTTTGGGAATCTCGTTTCCGGGCATGCGGCAACGCGCCGCTGCTATGCACGGAAAGGAGGCGGGAAGAGAAAAAAGGGGACCCGACCTGGTGGCAGCTGTTGGAGCGGAAATGTGGTCATTTTCAAAGTAAAATTATCGAAATTAAAATTCTGTCTAGGCAACAAGTAGTTTTGAATGCATTCGATACTGGGATGGTAAGTAACTACGGTTACCGTAGCTTTAAAAGTATCAAGATTGGTTTCAAAAATTTAAATCAAAGCCGAAATTTAGCGCCTGAAATCCGTAAGAGACCGAAAAGCTTAATAGTTAAAGATATAATTAAATAAAGTTAAGCTTTATCTATAATCGATGCTGGCTTTTAGAATAATTGAGGTCATTGGAGATTTAATAGAAAAAAAAATGCCGCAATAACCTAGTTTCGATAATTATAACAGTAAGAACGATGAAAATAGCTCCAGCTTTTCAGAAATCGTGCAAAAATTTAAAAATTGGCGGGTTTTTATGTTCGAACGGGGGCGCGACCCGTCGCGCGCGGCTGCGCTGAGGCATGGCTGGTGAGGTGCCAGAAGTCAACGGGATCAGGCTTCTAGATCAGACACTTTAGGGGTCCAAGAAAATGTATTAAAGCAATATATACTGATTTAACTTTTTCAAATATCTTTAGAGATTTTAAAAGTTGTCTAAATACAAAACAAAATATCGTGTTTTCAAAAAACACCCTCAACATAAATATTTATCGAAATTGCCAACGAAAATTACATCTAAAAACCGGCGAAACGGGCGAAAGACACGGCGGCGTGGGGTACTAGGGGCGTATAAATAAATGCTAAAAGATTGCACCGGCTACGATAAGCAAAGAAATGAAGTGGGTGACCCGTCGAGGAGTATTGAAATGTAACTGCAGAAATACATCAGCGCATACTGGGGGGTGGTCAAATGATAATAGCCATAAATAAATAAATATTAGTGAGTCAAAGTTTGAGATTTGGTGGTGTAGGCGGAGGTGTTTTTGTTCGGGTTTAGAACTTGACGAACGGGAGGACGTGACGGCTCAGCTCGTGCATGTAGTGGATCATTTTCGGGAGCGGCAGCACATCCGACCATTGTTCGGCTGAAATTTTGCGTTGGTTTTATAGTTTTAGAGGTTTAAAGTTGTATTATAGAGCGTTTTTACAAGGGTTTAAACTTTACAACTAGTATTTGTAGTTTATAGCCTCATTTTTAGAAGCTGTAAGCTTATAAAACTTACTTGACGTCGCCAGTCCGGTCATCCGATAAGCCCAGTGGGTGAAATCGTAGAGGATCTTGTGCGTGGCGTGCGATTCGACCTAGGAAAATGGAGGTAAAGTTTCCAGAAGCTTCTTAGATAATTTTTGGCTATTTTTTTGGAGTCTGCCTACTTTTTTATATGTTTTTAAACATCCAAAAACTTTAGAAATGTTTTTAAAACACGTTACAATGCCAGGAGTGTTTTTGCAGCAATTTTTTTAGCGTTTTACGGCTTTTCTAACGCTTTCGAGCTATCGAAACGCTTTTTTTCTACCAATTTTCGACCGTTATGAGCGTACTTGCGCGAAACAGCTCGCCAGCACCCCATCGACAATTATCGAGCCTTCGACGGTGATTGGGGAGTAGATTCCGGTGGAGATTCGGCGGCCAACCTGCAAAAAAGGCATTAAAAAATTGATTTCCAGGGGTTTAGGCATCACGTAGGCTTAGGCTTGGGCTCATTTTTCTACCTTGACAATCCGTTCCACGTCCACTTGTCCCTCGTCATCAGCTGCAAGCACGCAGTCTCCAACCTGGGCCCTGTAGGCAAATCTGGATCCGCGCAGCGCCTGGTCGATTGCGTCACTCTGGAAATGACTAGTGTTTGTGGGGGTTTAATTAGGTTTTTAGCTTTCACGTTTCCTTTTTTTTAGAGTTTGGAATTATCCGAAAAACTCACGTTGTTCATGAGCTGTCTCATGTCATCACAGCTGCCAACGGGGAGTAGATGCAGTGGGGTGACGGCGAGTTTGCGGCCGTTTTCTGGAAGAATGAGTTATGGAAACAGCTAGATTGAGGCTCAGACTTAGGCTTAGGCTGAGCTTCAGCTGACGTTTCTTAGCTTAACATCAAGCTTACCGGTCTCAATCAGCACAAAGTTCGTCTTCCTGTCGGGCACTCGATGGTAGAACATCTCAACCAGCTCGTACTTTGGCACGCCATTCGCTAGAGATTAGAGGCATAGAGGAACAGGTCAATCTCAATCTACCTGTCGGCACCAACACTCGGTCTCCAACCTGCAGCTCATCCATGCGTTTCAGGCCCTCCGGGGTTGAGACAACGCTGTCGGCGGCGAAGCAGTTTTTCTGGAATCATTTTTAGAGCATGCGCCGCGCCACTTACCCCTGCTCCTCCAGCTCCGGCACCTGGAGCATCGGCCGCGACCGCGTCGGCGGCAGGGGCGGCGGCTTGAACGGGGGCTCGAGCTCCGGCAGCTGCCGGGGTCTCGGCTGCGGCACGACCCTGGATTGGGGACGGCTCGTCGGCTTCATCTACCGCTTGGATCGTGCGAAGTTGTTTCTGACGCTGTCGTCTTTTCTTTGCGGCGGCCTGGAAGTGTAAAATGACCTCTGCTAGCTTGCCACGTGCTTTAAAACAATGCCGGTGATTCTTCCGATGGTTCTCTCTCTCTCTCCTCTCACTCACCTTCTTCGCCTTCGCCTTTGCCTTGGCTTTCGCCAGCCGCTTCCGCTTCTTCTCGGCCTCCTCATCCTTGGCTTCGATTCCGTCCTGAAAATTCCATTAAAAAATTCAAATGACATAAATTCAACTAATAAAACAAAGATTTTGATGAGGGAAACGCAGGGGTTATGATCATTTAGTGACGGTGTCGAACTGAGGCTGCTCAATTCACCGGTTCCAGCTCTATCCGCTGGTCTTCTTCGTTTGGTTCTTTCGTTGTGCCATGGAATTCTGGATCTTCTTCCGGTTCTTCCGAATTTTCCGGAGATCCACTCTCGCTCGAATTTTCGGTATTTGTCTGGATCGTAAATTGGTGTAGAAAGTAATGGTATGGAATTTAGTGGTTCGATTTGCATTTGTCGGCTTGTCGGCATTGTTTGAAAAAAAACGGTCTAATTTAAGCTAGTGCTAAAGTCTATTAGATTCTCTGTCTATATCTCTCTCCCACGCTCTCTCCCGCCATCTCTCTCTCTCTTTCTCTCTCTCTCTCTCTCTCTCTCTCTCTCTCTCTCTCACCTTCACAGCATTCCCCGGCTGTCCATTGGCGCCTTCCGTATCCCCATCATTGTCCGGATTCATCGAGGCATCGTCATCCCCTTCAGTATCATCCCCATCTCCGCCCTTACCATCTACTCCATTCGTCTGAAGTGCATTGGCCCATTCTTAACTTGATGTTCATCTACATACCTCAACATTATCCCCTCCATCTTCGGTAATTTCCGGTCCCTCCTCATCATCATCTTCATCTCCACCGTTGGTGACTTCGGCCGAGAAATCGTCTCCATTCCTGGAAAACGTGGGTAGGTTAGGCTTAGGCTTGGGCTTAGGCTTCGGCTTGGGCTCATGCTTAGGCTTGGTCTTATCTTAGACTCGACCTTAACTTACACTCTGCCCTCGACCTCCTTCTTTTCGTCGTCCCCCTCTGCGTTTCCGCCGCCCTCGCCGCTGTCGGCCGGTCCCTCGCGTCCCGCCACGAATTTAGGACCTAGAAAATGGATTTTTTCGATGAGATGGACCTCGATTTTCTCACGTTTTCCTTCAGAATCTCCGCCATTTTCCGAGCTACTCGTTCCGTCAGGTTCTACCTTGAATGCTGTTCCCTCGGTTGTCTAAAACAGCGCAAAAATCAATTTTTATTAGCAAAAATTACCTCTACGGATTTCTTGTCCTTTCCGGTTTCCGATGTGGAGGGTTTTTCGGCTCCGGATTCCTAAAAAGGGCATCTTAAACGGTTTTTCAAGGGTGTTCGGACTCAGGCTCATGCTCATGCTCGGGCTCAAGCTGAGGCCTTTACTTAGGTTTATGCTTACCGTAGTCTTTCCAGCATCTGATCCCCCTTCTTTCCCTCCGGCATCGGGGTCCGTCGGCCCATTGTCAGTCCCCGAAGACCCATTCGGCTTCGGCGAGTCCGTATTTGGCCCCCTACCGTTGAACGACTCGGAGGAGTCGGTTTTCGGTGTCGTTCCGGATCCGGAATCGCCTCCAGCGGCTCCAGTACCGCTTCCCGCAGCACCTTCGGAAGCTCCTCCAGCTCCTCCAGCTGCTCCAGCTCCACCAGCTCCCCCACCTGTCACGAACCCTCCAATGACCGGCTTCCCCTCCCCATCGGTGTGGATGTGGATGTGGATGGTCCCGTTTTGGCCGTTGGCTCCTTGGCCTCCAACTGCGGCTGAACTTGTTGAAGAGGAAGCGCTGCCGCTTCCGGAATTTCCCGCAGCTCCACCACCGCTTCCCGAAGTACCAGAAGTAGACGAGGAACTGCCAGCAGCGTTTCCGGAGGCCGAATTTCCGGAGCTTCCTGAGTTCCCGGATTCGGCCTTGACTCCAGAGCTTGAAGAGGAGGAAGCTGAGGATGAGCTTGAGGATGAGCTCGAGGAGGAGCTCGTGGATGAAGCTCCGGCCCCAGCTAGAGGGATAACGGGGGCGAGATTCCCGGCGGAAAGTCCGTTTCCGTTGTTTCCAGAAGCACCGGCAGCTTGTGCAGCGGCTGCGGCAGCTGCAGCGGCGGCCGCGGAAGCTGCAGCGGAAGCGGGGGTACCTGAAAGTTTAATTAGTGTATCATCGGCCTAGGTTAAGCTTAAGATTAAAATTAGGTTTTAGGCTTCAGCTTAGGCTTAGGTTTAATCAATAACCCACCAGCCGGTTGCTCCCCGTTGAGGATCTCCGAAGACCTGTGTCGCACTCTCTCCCTGGCTTCCGCTTCGGCTTCACCCTCGGCGTTGCCCCACACACTTCGTGCCCACGAAGACCAGCTAAAATTGGGGATGATGCTAATGGAGTGCGACTCACCTTGACGAGCTCCAGCGGCTCCAGGAGACCCCGGAGAAGCCATTTTGCTGGTCGGAAACCTTCATGCCGGAGCAGCGGGGACGGCAGATGGTTACGCGGTAGCCGTCACTGAAAGTAGGCTTAGGTTTAGGCTTAGGCTTAGCTTAGGCTTGGGCTTAGGCTTAGGCTTAGGCTTGGGCTTAGGATTAGCTTAGGCTTGGATTCATCTTGCACTTAGCTTAGGTTTTGGTTTGGTTTAGGCTTCGGCATAAACTTGCTTACATTCTCCTCTCGATCCCCTTGACCAGCAACGTGGGCGGGCTCTTATTCCGGAGCAGGAAAAGCCGGAGTCGATATCCGGTGTACCCATCGATTTGGGACGGGATGTCGGCCGCGCTTTTCAAGACGGTCAACGGTTGGTCTTCCTAAAATTACTAGAGTTTCTTTTGGGTTTTTTGTAAAGTGATTTTAAAGCCAAAAAAATCCAGATCTAACCGCTTACGGCATTAAATTGGCTGATCGGCTCGATATTCTCGTCGACCGGGTGGGTGGATCCGTCGGGGAGCTCGTAGATGAAGCAGTCATTTCCCTCGTGGGTCGGGACGACGTTTGGTGGGCGAGGGTTGTAGAGTTGACAGCAAGTGTGTTCCACTCTAAAATTAGCGTTATAACGGTTTTATTCACAAAATATAGTAAAGTTAGCTAATTTTAAACAAAAACGATCTTAAAACAGGAATTATGGTCATAACGCCGACATTAGGAAAGATGTTTAAGTTTTAACAACAAAAGCTGAAAATTTCGCTAGTTAGAGTATTGTAAATTACAGAAAAAGCCTAATTGCAGCGGCGTTTGCTTTTTTGCAGCCCTTTCAAACCTTCTAAAAAGTCCTTGAAACTCATTAATCAGAAATAAAACCAAAACAATTCCAATTTCGCGTAATTTGATTGCCAGCGCAAAACTACGTTAAAAACTACCCTAAAACACGAGATTCTAAAAGATTTTATTGTGTCTAACCAAAATTCAAAAAAAGTAAAACCTCATCTGGCTCACTAGGTGAAAATTTTCACAGCACGTGCGGCCAGAAGGGAGGGACTCGCCCCAATCCCCTGACCGTGGTGGCCGAGTGGTTAAGGCGTTCGCCTTGCAAGCGAATACCCCACCTACCAAGGGGGGTTCGTGGGTTCGAATCCCACCCGTGGTCGAAACGTTTTGCCTTTTGCTTTTTGGTTTATCTTTCGTAATAACATTTCTCCATGCATTTGGCAGTAAATTTACACGGTTTACAGACCGTTTATTAAGAAATAACTCGGCTTTTGTTAATTTTGAATCTTTCTGTGAATTTTTTATGGAATTTTCATCTCATTGTTTGTAAATCAGCCATTATCTCATTTTACAGTTACAATATACCTTTATATAGCAATATAGAACAGTATCTGAGGCTTTTCTCATGAGAAATCAGTAATTGATAGTTGTTGTTTGGGTTGTAAGAGTACCGCTTGCTGTTTTTGATTAAAAATTCTACAATTTCAAATTCCATACCGGCGAATATACATTTATGGTCTACGTTTGTAGCTTATACAATCCTTGCAAAAGGTTTAAAGACCCACAATCCACTGGGGGTTCCCTGGTTGACGTGCGACACGAAATTCATCCGGCCTCCACAGTGCGGCTGCATCGTGTCGTACTCGCATTTCTTAAATAGAAAGTATTTAGATAGGGTTGGGTTAGGCTTAGGCTTAGGCTTCTGCTTAGGCTAGGCTTGGGCTTAGGTTTAGGCTTAGACTCAGGCTTAGGCTTCGGCTACAAGACCCACCAGTCTTTGATAACCACAAAGGTCCAGCCGCTGACAGTGCATTCGGATGGTGTCGTTCCCGAACGATTGAACGACAAGTACCTGAAAATATGGTAAGTACGATACTTTGAAGGGGTTAAGGTAATCCCTGCTTTAGAATACTGTATCCCTCGTCCCTCACCTGATCATTTTGGCACTTATACGAAAGGGCAGCGAAGGCCGGCAGCCAGCCCAACCACCACCACCGCATCCCGGGAGGGAAGTGGAATCTGGAAAAGGGTGGAATTTAGGGGAATCTAAAGCATAGAGGACATGGTATGGAAGATAGAGAGAGAGAGAGAGAGAGAGAGAGAGAGAGAGAGAGCGTGAGAGCGCAATAGTGTGCAAAAAGACGCTATGCCAAAAATCGTTGAAAAATTAGAAGTCCCGGCGAGAAAAAATATTTTTTTTCGACGCGGGCTATGATTTTAAATTTTTACTTGAAGCAGCTTTCAAAATGGTTTTAAAAGATTTTCTGCTGGAAATATTGTTAAAACTCATTAAAAACGTATAAAAACAAGTGGAAAAACGCTTTTTAGTCGACACTAGGCCCGGAATAATTTACATTCCCCAACCCCCCCCCCCCCGCAAATATACAAGAACCGAATTGGAATACCAAATAAAAACTACTACAAAAAATCGCCCCAAAAAGGTCTTTAGTACACAAACGGAATTTCTCGGCTATCAACCGGCTAACGAGCCAAAAAAGGGCTGATCCGGCGCAGATCAGCGGCGTTGAATAGCCTTCCACGGCGCGGAGGGTATTTCCGATTTTCGGCGATTTTCACCGGGAGGGCCGGGAGCCAAAACCCGGGAGATACCCGGTTTTTCCCGGCCGGCATCAAGCTGTGCCCTCCAGCGAGAATTGGTGAAGCACCCACCCGGGAGGAGGATGACACTGTCCCTTTTTGTCCTTTAGCAAAACACGGAATTTTGGGTGGGTAGATGGGGGAAGGGCCGAATCAGGTCACTTATCCCAGCGGGTCTACCTTTCCCTGCCTCCATCAAGACTTTCCGATGTTTCCTTTCGACGCCTATCACTTTTAGAGGGGGGGGGGGCGATGGGGGGGGAGGCGGATAACGGATATTTGGGACAGTGAGAGTACGAAATTGGGGTTGCAATAATTCGTGGATAACCGAGGAGGGGCCTTTGAATTCCGTTACTTTACTATCTATAGAAAAATCTAAATATTTGCAAAAGTCTTTACTTAAAAATGTCGAAAGTGGGACGTCGGAACTGCCAGTTTCGAATTTCAGAATACCGACATTTTTCGAATTTTGTGGATTTCCCTGATCCATATATCAGGTTGGAAAGAAAGTAATGGCACAAAATCTTTAAACTGCTGTAAAAACCCGCAGGAACGTCCGATTTGAAAGTATGATATATGGTTTGGTAGATCTTCGGATGCTCTATCACGAGACGACCCTCAAAACGCACAAAAACTGACGGACGCGAAGATACAGGCCTCAGAAGTTTCGCAGAAAATTAGGTTAAAGCTTCCAAGCGAGATATCTCTGCATACAGGCATTTGCATACGATACTTTTAACACCAATCGATAGCCCTCGAGGAGTAGATATCGATAAGTGTTGAGATCAGGAAAATCGGACACTGGATGGTCGAGATATGCCCCCTAGAAATTTGGTCCACTTCTTAGAACTTTTCTCGAAATCCCATACATTTAGGCCTGCGCGAGCCAAAAACTGCTACGTTTGCTTCGGCTCCCGAACCAAAATCCAGAAAATGCATTGATTTTGGAAGGCCCATATCTCGGTCATTCAGTGTCCGATTTTGATGATCTCAACATTTGTCGATATCTACTCCTCGAGGGCTATCGATTGGTGTTAAAAGTATCGTATGCAAATGCCTGTATGCAGAGATATCTCGCTTGGAAGCTTTAACCTAATTTTCTGCGAAACTTCTGAGGCCTGTATCTTCGCGTCCGTCAGTTTTGAACTTTCGACGTTCTGAACTTCGACGGTGGGTTTCGGCATTCTGAAAACTCGAAATTCTAAATTCGGCGTCTCGAAGTTTCGACATTTTGTAATTCGGATTCTCCGGTCGGTTCTCAAATTCCGAAATAAAGGTAAGAGTCTAGAACCCCCCCCAGCCGGCACCAACTTTTGTATCTCGGCCCCCCTTTGTGCTAGCGAGCTCTAAAGTATACCAAAATGTTCGCCGTAGGCTAATTAGTAAAACTACATTGCAGTTCAGTCGAAAAAAGTAGTGAAAAATAAAAATAAGGAAGGTAGAAAAGTTGAAAAGTCGGCTGGGGGGGTTTCCTAGACTTGAGCCGAAATAAATAATTTTTTACAGGTGAATTTCGACATCTTGAAATTCGTCATTCTCAAAATTGGGCCTTTTAAATGCCACTTCCTGAACGTTCAATGTTTTTAATTATCAAAAACACCGAAATTTCGACCTCCTGAACTTTCGGCATTTTGAGCGTTATCGGATAAGAGAGAAATGAGAAAAGAGACGCAAGGCGCAATTTCGCATTTTTTTGGCTTTGTAAATCATCAAACCAGTTCTTGCCAAGCCTTATGCCGTGAAACGTCCATTAAAGGGCCGGTGAAGAGTGCAAAAATTGTGGAAATTTGTACAAATTTAAGTACCAAAGCTCGTGCTGTTTTCATGCGAATTTTTAGCTGCTTTTCGTGATTAGCGTTAGTAAAAAAAGCAAAAAAAGTTAGTATTTTGTTGCTGGTGTTGAGCAGGCATTTATTGGGGGGGGGGGGTACGGGGGCGGGGGTGCAAATTGCTGTAAAACGTGCAGGTAAAAGTGGCGGGACCCGTGCGAAATGGATGCGGATGCGAATTGAAAAATTGCAAGTAAAAATGCTGGCAAAATTGCAAGCAAAAATTGCAAATTATTAGGCGGATGCAAGGGGTGCAAAACGGTGAAAAAGTGTAAGAAAATGCAGTTAGGGGTGGATAAACGGGACTGTGAGCTGGCCGAGGTACTGTAGGACATCGAGTAGAGCCGGGATGGGGATGTGGTCTGTTGAAAAGCCTGAAAAATTGGTGAGAACTGTTCTGGAAATTTTCTCTCTCGTTCTGTATCCCTCTCGCACTTTCTCTCTCTCTCTCTCTCTCTCTCTCTCTCTCTCTGTCTCTCTCTCTCTACCTCTCTCTCTCCCTCTCTGGCCTTCTCTGCTTTCTCTAGCTCCTTGGTTTCGCGTACTCTAGCGTTCTAGGTTTTCTGTAACTTTCTCTCGCGCGTGGCTCTATCTCTCACCCGCGCTCTCTCTCTCTCTCTCTCTCTCTCTCTCTCTCTCTCTCTCTCCTCTATCGCCTCGGCTCGCTCTCTCTCGCTTTAAAATCTACCACTCATCCCAAAATATCGATAAACCATGCTAACAAAATCGTAGAGCAGCTTCTGCATCGTATGTGATTCCACCTATCAAAAATATTCACTTTCCAAACCCTCATTTTACCTCCGCAAAACACGAAGCCAAGATCCCATTGGCCACTATCGACCCACTGACCGTCACCGGGGCGTAGATACCGCGTGAATACTGACGAGAAATCTGAAAAAATACGTTGGGATTCTGAAATCAGGTCGTACCTCGTGAATTTCTTGTAAAACGAGTTGACCATAATCATCTACCGTAACCAGACACATCCCGGGTTTTAGGTTACGGGCGAAAATGGAGGAACGAAGAAGCTAAATAGGGATACAAGAGTGGAATAGCTTTTGGCTTTCTCTCTGTCTCACTCTACGTCTCTCTCTCTCTCTCTCTCTATCTCTCCCGCTCGCTTTCTCTCTCTCCCTCCCTCCCTCTCTCTCTCGCTCTCTCTCGCTCTCACGCTCTCTCTCTCTCTTCCGCACCCTTTCTCTCTATCTCACCTGCTCTCTCTCCCCCTCCTCCTCTCTCTCTCTCTCTCTCTCTCTCTCTCGCTCTTTCTCTCTCCCTCTCTCCCTCGCTCTCTCGTTTTTACCTTTTGCACATCCCCCTCAGTCGTCAGCGTCTCGTTCAAGTCGCCACAATTTCCAGCCGGGATCAGATGCTTTGGCGTCACACTAATCGACCTTTCCCTTGTTTTGATCTTCAAAAACATGGTCTCCTTCTCAGGATCTCTATGGTAGAACATTTCGATCATCTCGAACTGAGAGACACCCGGCGCGATCGGGACCAGGATCTGGAAATTGGGTTTTAGGGCTGGCATTGCGTTGCATCGCGTAGTACTGCGCGCGCTGCATGTGCGTTGCTTGTCGCGGCCTCTGAACTAACTTACCCTATCTCCGATCTGCAGCTCGTCCATTCTCCTGTTCCCGTATGGTGTCGGAACAAGAAGATCTCCCGAAAAGCAGTTTCGCCTGGCCCGCTGGGCAGCAGCGGCTTTCTCGTCGGCTTCTGCCTGGATTGAAAGCTGAGGGTCGGCTTAGCTTAGGCTTAGCTTGGGCTTAGACTTAGGCTTAGACTTAAGCTTATGCTTAGTCTTAGGCTTAGGCTTGGGCTTAGGCTTAAAAGTTAGCTGTTAGCTTACCTGTGCCTCCTGCGCATCAATAATCCGTGTATTCGCATCAAACCGCGCGTCCTCCCGCACGTAATTCCGGTTCGCGATGGCTTCCGGATCCGGTGGGACGTCCGGAAGTTGTACAGGGCGCACGGCTTCTTTCTGGAAAATAGGCCATAATGAAATTTGTATGTTTTAAGGGTCTAGCAGTCAGGTTGCTTCGAATTCTGTACCCAAATAGGTTCAAATTTTGCTTAAAAGTCTTTTAAAAATAAAAAGTGAAATACCTGAATGGGTGCGGCATTCGCAACGTGATGGGATGCGTCTTCGCCATAGTCTAGGGCTTCGGGTGGGTCGTTTGCTAAAATATGGCTTAGGCATAGGCCTAGACTCTCGAAAGCCTCCAAAACGACCAACCTCCATCCAGATCCCCCTCCAGAAGCGCCAGACTCGGCCGTCCCTTGTCGTCAAACGCATTCTCAACGCTGAAGTCTTCGCCAGAATCCATTTTGTCAGCTTTGGTTGAATTCTGGTGCCTCGATTCTACCGTATCCGGATCCTCTTCCGGATCTCCAGGTACTTTCTCGCCCTCATCCTCCGTCCCATCATCAATTCCGTAGTCTTTCTCTTTACTGCCCAGGTCTTCATAGGAATCTGGATAGTTTTCATCGTTTCCTTCGTTCTCGATTTTTTCGGTTTCTTCCTCTTCCGCTTCCGGAATTGATGTTTTCGAGGTTGTCGCTGGGATTACCGTTTCCTCCGCTTCTGCTTCAGGATTTTCTAAAGTACCAGGCCTTGTCTCGTCTTCCTTAGGTTCTTTTGTCGTCGTTTCCGGTTTTTCTGTACTTTCCGGTTTTTCCAAGTTTGTCTCCGTCTCTTTAGGTCCTCCCGTCTCTAATTCCAAGTTTCCTGAGCTGCCCGACTTTTCCGGCTTCCCACCATTTTTTCCGAAGCTTTCCGGCTTGTTTGTTTTTCCGGTCCCCTTTGGATTGGCTCCGGGACCTTCCGGAATCTTCGTATCGCCCGGTTTCGCAGCTTTGAATGGTCTGTTTTCAACATATCTTCTATTTTCCAAATTTTCCGGAACAATTTTCGTGTTTCCGCCGCCTTCCGGAACGTCACTTTTTGAATGGTTACCTTTGTTGGAAACTCCGATTTCATTCTTTATGCCGTTTTGCCCATTTTCGGCTTTGGTTCCGGCCCCATGAGTTCCATTTTCTGAGCTTGATCCGGTACCTTTTCCGGATCCACCAGCTTCACGGTCGTGATTTATCCAATTTTTGTCATTTTTGGCATTTCCTGATAAATTTCCAGATCCTAACAGATCGGTTTTATCCGTTTTCTCGATTTTCGACGGCTTCATGGCGTTTCCGGAATCCGGAATTCCAGGATTTTTCGAGTTTTGAAGCGTTCCATTAGTGCCCAGATCTACCGTAATCTTTTCGGCTGCGCGTTTTTCATGTTTGGGATCCAATTCCGAGCCCATGGCTTTAGCTTGACCAAGATTTCCGTGAGCTTCTCCTCCACCTTTCTCCTTCCTATCATGCGCCCCATCTACCGTACCCTCCCCCGGCAGTCTCTTGCTGTTTCCTTGAATATCCGGCAGCCATCCCCTTCGCTCGATAATCGGTTTGTGCACGTTTTTCGAGTGTCCTGAGACGACGTCGACTGGATGCGTTTCCGGAGCCTCGTTCTTTGTACCATTAATGCTTCCGGAAGGCTCCGGATCGTTCCGGTTTCTCTTGCTTTTATCGTTTTTCGAAAATAATCCAGATTTAAGGTTTTCCGGAAGAGGTTCTAGTGGTTTTCCCGAGCCCTGAAGACCTCCTGGCCCCGGTCTTGCTCTTGTTTCAGTGTCACCTTCCGGAACAGATTTTTCGCCTTTATAGTCAGTCTTGGGATCGCTTGGGTCAATGATAGGTAGGCGGCCACCTTCCGGATCTGCCGGATCAGGTTTTTGTGGGTTTTCAGGGATCAACTTTCCCTCCGGATCCGCAACTGTCCGATCTCCTGTCAGTTTTTGGCCTCCGGAAGGATCCGGGTTGCCTTCCGGAACGTTTGGAGCCAACTTCCGGTCGGGAACCGCTTCTGGACTGCCGTTATTTGCAGCCGTAGGTAATTCCGAGCCTGTTGGCTTAGCTGGATTCAGCGGCTTCGACGGATTCTCCTGAGCTTCATCTTTCATCTTACGTGCCTGATCAGGCTTTACACTGCCCTTAATGCGTGGCTCCGGCGTTGAACTGCTCGAATTTGACGGATTTACTGTAGTTTTTTCACTTGGCCTGGAACTCGTAGCATTTGGTGCGGCTCGCCCAGTTTTTCCGTTTCCTGCCCCGTCGTTAGGTGCAAGCGGAGGGTCCTCGTCACTCGGCCTCAAAATCTTGTCTCCATTTGAAGGTAGGTGTCCAGATTCAGGGTTAACATCAAGTTTCTGCTTGCCACTTGGTCGGACTGGCTTCAAAATGTCTGACAGCGACTTTTTCGTTGCTTCCGGTTTCGTTCCGGTGACTTTTCCGCTTGAATTTTCAGGGTCTGGGCCCAGATCTGCCGGATTTTTTGGTTTTTGCGTGGTCGAGGATCCGACATTTCCAGATTTTCGGTCTATGAGGTTTCTTGGGTCAGGTTTGAGCTGAGCAGGAACTTCGGGAGCTTCAGAAGTTTCATTGGCTTTTGGAACTCCAGTTGCTTCAGTTGCCCTTGATGCTCCAGTAGCATAAGAAGTTCCGGTAGCTTTAGGAGCTCCAGGAGCTTCAACAACTTCATTTTTACCAGCCGGCCTTAGTTTCTCAGACTTTTCCGGATCAGTTTCATCATCCTCAACGTCTTCTGAATCCCCTCCTGCCTCAGAATTCTCATCAGAAGCAGCTTCTCCAGCTCCTCCAGCTCCTTCTCCTTCTTCACTAGCTTCCGGAGGAACCGGAGAAGCGATTTTGACTTCAGAATCAGCGTCGTCAGTCTTGACGTCATCTTCTTCAGACAGTCCTTCCGCTTCCGGAATGCTCTCCGAATCACCCGTATCGTCAGGCTCTGCAGAATCTCTATAGCCCAGCTTTTCTTCACTGGCTTCGGTTTTGACTTCGACGGAACTGACTTCATTTTCAGATTCTTCCGAAGCTTCAGACGAATTTCTAGGCACTTCCAATCTCTCGGGCGGGACTTGATTTCCGGATTCGGCAGAAGCTGCAGACGACTTTTCGAGATTTTCTCGGCTGAGTTCATCGATATTCGCCTTCGCTGGTTTAGCTTCAACTTCGGGTTCATCAAATTTAGCTACGGAATTTGGAGTCCGCGGAATTTTGGCTTGGCTGGCTTCAGAATTCTTACTCGGCGTGTCCCCATCAATCGGTGGAAAGGGTGGGTGCCGATCATTGCGCTTCTCCGGCTTTTCCGGTTTCAGTGGCTTGGTTGTCGAGCCGTCCGCTTGAGTACCACTTCCGTCTTCCTCTACAGTACCCTTGCCACCATCACTCCAAGCTTCCGAAGCCGATTTTCCAGAACTTTCCGCATCAGTACTATTTGCAGGCCCCGATTTTTCATTGGCTTTGATCTCGATATGATTTGTGGCGACTGCATTTACGTTGAAAGACTTGTCAAGGGGATTTGTAGCCCTTTCTCGATCGAGCTTCGGGAGTTTAGGATCGGTTTGGCTTTCCCTGGATTTCCTAAGCTCTTCTAACAATTCCCGGTCCACCCCGCTGCCAGTGTGGATGTGGATGTGCAAATCGGGGTGTCGGCGGATTGCTTCCGAATTATTGGCTAAGTCGGCTTCAGCGGCTTCGTCTGCTTTGTCGCTTTTTCCGTTCTTGAAGAGTTTATCTGAAAAGGATTTGATGGGAATTGCTCTTTGATAGGAATTCTCTTTCTCTCTCGCGCTCTTTCTCTCTCTCTCTCTCTCTCTCTCTCTCTCTCTCTCTCTCTCAAACCAACCTGCTATCAATTCTCCATCCGCTTCCATTTCCGGAACGCCAATATTAATTCTTTGGGGCGGCTCGGAATTTTTATTCTCTTTCTGCATGGCTTCAGTCTTTCCGGATAGCACTTCCCCATCAGCACCCACCATCTTTTGCCATCTAAATTCAACAAGATAGAGAGCGTGAGAGAGATAGTGAGGGAGTGAAAGGGAGCGAGGGAGAGCGAGAGAGAGAGAGAGAGAGAAACGAGAGGAAACTCACAACTTCTTCGACCATCTGCCCCATTCAAAGCCACGCCAAGCGGCTGCCGCTAACGAATCTGCCTCCGCTTCCGACGCTCGATTCAGGCATCTGGCCCGGCATATCGTCACCCGGTAGCCCAGACTGAAATAGTGATTAAATGATTAAATGAATGAAAAATAGTGAAAAAAAATAAAAAATAGTGCTCAAAATTTTGATTTAACTATTTAAAGAATCAGCTGAATATTTTTACTTAGATTAAAGTCATACCTGTAGCGTTGTATAGCCTTGACAAGAAGTACGGGTGGGCTTTTCTCGGTAAGCGAGTAGAAATGAAATTGGAAGGTCTTCGAGCCGGCATCCTGATTTTTCGCGTCGCCCGTGAACTCCTTGGAGAGCTCGTCGAGACTCCGGACGACCGTCAGATTTGATTTTTGTGATTTTTCTTCGAGCTTCTCCTCCTCACTTCCGGCAGCCGTCGTCGTCCCGTCCGGTAGCTCGTAGATGAAACAGTCGTTCTCCAGATGCGTGGCGATTGGCTCGGACAGTCGGCAACAAGTGTGGGCTACGCTAAAAAAAATCAGTTAATTTATAATTACAAATCCAAAATGTTCTAAGTTTTATGAAAAAAATATTGATGGTAAATTAACAATTAAAAATTACGGTTGATCCACGCCGAGCTGCTCGACTTTTGCGACAAAATTCTCGACTCCGCCGCAGTTGTCTTGGTTTTGTTCGTAGATACAGTGCTGAAAAAAATCCATCTTATAAACTCAATGACGGTAACGTAGTGAAACGTACTGGAACGTACTTTAGCGTATTGTAGCGTGCTGTAGCGTACTCAACGCACTTAACGCACTGTAAGCTACCGTCTACCTTCTCGCATAGTTGCTTAGTTACGGTAGCTTACTGTCTAGCGCACTTTAGCGTAGTGCAACGTACTAAATCATTCGAAAATGCTAGAAAACTAGTGATTTCCGAGGTGTATATAGCATTGTCGCGTAGGCGCTAGTCAAAGATATCGAAAGTCCGGCCAGCTGGGGGTCGTAATATGGCACTTGAGAGCCAGGATGGATAGTGGATGGATAAGGGGTGCTTTCGCTTGGATTGGATGATGCTGGTAGTAACGGCTTAAGCAGAGGCTTAGGTTTAGGCTTAGGCTTAGGTTTAAGCTTTCTGTTCTCCTGCAGTTTCAGTTTTTCACTTCCAAATACTTAAAAACCGACGGGTCTACCGTAACCGCAAATCGACGGAAGCTGACAGTGCATCCGGATCGTATTATTCCCAACCGATTGCACGACTAGCACCTATTTTTTAAATAGTTTTACATAAACAATTTTTTTGAGCTTTACCTGATTGTTCTGACATTTGTAGGACAGGCCATTTGATAGGGAACATAATATAGGGAATATCAGAAATATAGTCCGCTTCTTCATCTGAAATTGAAGATTAATAGACGAGTGAACGATAGAGAGAGAGAGAGAGAGAGAGAGAGAGAGAGAGAGAAAGAGAGAGCGGGAGAGTGAGAGAGAGAGAGCGAGAGCGTACAGCCAAAAATCCATAACTTTGTCTTGCCCACCCATTAATAGGCCATAAAATAGGCAAATTTCTAGCACCTTTAAAAGAAACCTTTTAAAATACGCCAAAACGGACCGAAACTAAATAAACCTGGCCAATGATGAGCCCGGAATTGTGAGTAGGTAACAGCTTCTGGTTCTTCACGGGGTCAAGCCCTACTTTCTCGCCCCAGGGGGGTAAGAATCACCGGTTGATTAGGGGATGTCCACCCACACACACACCGTCAAAAGCCCGTGTCGACCAGACCGGTCTTGAACTCTTGCTCTCTTTCTCTTTCTCTCCCTCTCGCTCTCTCTCTGTCTATCTATCTATCTCTCTCTCTCTCTCTCTCTCTCTCTGCGAAAACCTGACAACGGCCCGCATCATGAGCCTGAGTATAGCCACACCCATTCTCGGCTGTGGAGCTTGAGCATGAGGATGGGGTTTAAAGGGACGTAGAAGGCAGAAGAACGGCAAGAAGTCAAGCGAAGTCTAGGCTTAAGCCTAAGCCTAAGACTAAGCAAAGCCAAGCCCAAGCCTAAAGCTGAGCAGTTTTTTTTCCAGCCAGAGAACATACGGGCTGCAAAATGGAACAGGAAACGATTGGGGGAGATCCACTAAGCTATGGACACGGGCGATTTGAGCTCATAAAGATGCCGATGGGATACGGTTTATGGCCCCAGGTGCACAGAGAAATGAAGCGGAACGAGATGGATTTCTTTCCCTCAAGAAATTTGGGAACGGGGATCTGGCAGAGAATATTTAGGAAATGACAGGTAGGAGAAATCCGCACGAAAAAGGAAAAAGCAGAAATCATTGAGGAGGAAGCCAAGCTAGCAGGGTTTCTTGAGGAAGGGACAAGCTAGCAGATATTCTTGAGCAAGCCGGTGAGCTAGCAAAGGTCCTTAGGCAGAGGGCAGCTAGCAGAGATCATTTGGGAAATGACTAGCTTCCGGTGATTTTTGGGAATCCGGTAAGCTATCAGAGGCCTTTGAGGAGGAGGCAGGCGAGCACAGGTTCTTAGGGACAGGGCAAGCTATCAGAGGCAATCTAGCACAGATTTTTGAGGAATGGGGCAAGTCGTGAGAAACTAATGAATGAGATAAACCCTCAAAAATGACAAATACTCAACACGTTATCAGGAATTCTTGGGAAACATCGAAAATAATGCCTTGATGTGATGACTGTCCCTCCAGACACCCCCAAAAAAACTGCCCAAGTCGAATCATCGATTCCGTCTGATATGCCAACAACGAACGGATGGGGATGAGGAGCCGGAAAATCGGAGCTCATGGAGCTGAAACTCCGATCCCATCCTCGGCCCCGCCCCCGTACAGGGTAAAGCCGGCAGGGCAAATAGCCCGACGGCATGTTTATTAGCCCCCACAGCCGCTCGAGCTCGAGCTGACGGTCCAAGGAAAAGTCGCCCGTTAATGGGGTTGCAATGGCAGGGTTTTTCTGGGTTACGGTAGTCGTTAAAGGGATGGAGAAGGCAGAGTTGGGTGGCTCGGTTGCAGAGATCATTGAGGAAGAGGAGCGCATGAGATTTTCTTAGGGTCGAAGGAACTAGCGCAGAGATCCTTGAAGACGAGGGCTATCTAGCAGCTTTCCTTGAGGAAAAAAGGGTACCCGTGGGGGGGAGGAAATTATCCTGATCCATTTTTAGATATAAAAAGCATTCAACAATATTTAGATACAAAAAGCCTTGCTGGAGACGGAAAACCAAAAGTCTCCCAAAGCCCCCCCCCGCTAATAGCCGAGTACCGAAAAAAGAAACTAGCAAAGAACCCTCAGGAATATGCGATAGGCGGATTAACGGACTTTCGAAAAAAGGGAGCTAGCAAAGACCATTGAGCAAGGCACATTTGCGGAAAAGTTGAATTAGCGGAAATCCTGGGAAAGGAGGAGTGCTAGCCGAGGTCATTGAGGAAGGGCAGAGCTGGCAGAGATTCTTGAAGAACAATTGTTACTTGGATACCTTTGTCTAGGTTCCATTAATCTCGAAGGTTTTCCATTAATGTGCTGGTAAAAGCCACTTTTTTATCAGACCCAGCCTGGTCAGACCAATGTACGAAAAACCAGAACAAGGAACAGCCCATCAAAAAAAACCCCCGGCTGTCTGAGTGCAACGCCCCCGGAATTTTCCGCCTCTTTTCAGTTTTCTAAAGGGTGACCCTGGGGGAATCCCGGTTCCTGATGGTGGACTGGCTGGAATTTGGAATTTTGGGGACGAGAAGGACTTCGGGGAATCTGAAGCTAGTAATGTTTTCTTAAAGGGAGAGCGACAGTTGAAAAACTAGCAGTGATTTTTTAGGAATCCATAAACCAGCAGAGATTCTTGAGGAAAATGTAAGCTAGCAGAGATTTTTCGGGAAGGGCAAGCTAGCGAAGCTTGTTGAAAAAGGGCAAGCTAGCGGAGATTCTTGGGGAAAACGTAAGCTAGCAGAGATTCCTGGGGAAAAGCATGCTCCGACCGAAAGGCAAGGAAGCCAAAATTTTTGTCGAAAAGGAATCTAGCAAATAATTTTTGCGGACTGGCAAGCTAGCAGAGACCGCTTGAGGAAACGGGCAAGCTAGCAGAAATCCTTAAAGGGATACCCAACCTTTCCGAGGCTCAAAAAGCAAAAACCATGGCACGGGCGGGGGTCGAACACCGGACCCTCGCTTTGAAGACCTGGATGCTATCCATTAGGCCATAGTGGCAAGCCATTGCTTGGGATGGGGACGCCACAAGAGGGAAAGCTGTCCGAATTCTGTGCGGCACTGGGCACCCATTCCCGCACAAAATTCGCGCGTCATTTGTACTTTCCGGAATACATAACTATATATTTGCCACAAAAACATTGGGTATCCCTTTAAGGAGGTAGTAAAGAGCAGAGATTACTAGGGAAAACGAACGAGCCTAACGAAAGGGCCAGCTAGCAGAGATTCTTCCGGAAGAACAAAAAATTCACTAGAGTCCAAAATTTCAAATTCGTGACCGCCTGCTCGTGGTCCGGATCTATCGAATGTATGCAAAGGACGGGATTCCCGAGGGCAACCCTCGGTCAGCAGCCCGTAAACTGGTTTCGCGCGTAGGGGGAGGGGGAGGAGGAGGGCAAAAAAGAGTGAAGGGGAAAGAAACAAGAAAAGAAAGAGAGCAACAGCACTTGTGAACAGTTTGTAATTGTCGATGGAGGAGAGAGAGAGAGAGACAGAGAGAGAGAGAGAGAGAAAACTAGAAACGCTGGGACTCCAAATAGCCCACGGCTATGCAAATTTGCGGGAAGAGCTCGAACTCGAGATTGAGATGAATCGGGTCGGATTTCACCTTGACGAATTAATGGCGTGGTTCAAGCGCCAGTTTAGGTTGACTTTAAGCTTAAGCTTAGGCTTGGCTTAGGCTTAGGCGCAGGTTTAGATTTAGGCTTCGTCTAGGCTTCGCTTTCGGCCTAGGCGTAAGCTTGCCGAGCCGTTTCCGCACTAATAGCAACTTTCAAGGGATCGTGACAGCTATATCCGAAGCCTTTCCACACCGTTCCGCTACGCTCCAAATTCCGCCGACCCAACAACAAGCGCTCATAAATCTCGCGTAAGCACACCCGCTTTTTTTCGAGCCGGCCGACCGGGTGAATATCTCGAGAATTGGCTCACGGCCATTCGCGCTTTGAGATACGATCTCTCCCTCTCTCTCTCTCTCTCTCGCACTCCGGCCAGCTTCATCCCCTAAACGATGGCGCGCCCAATTTTCCGGACCGTTTGCCCCGGGAGGGGAGAAGCTGGAATGAGTCATTAAGCCGTGCGTCTGGATCTGGGCGGCATGAGGAGCATGGCGGAACGGGGAAATTTTTCAAGGGATTGGCAAGGCGTTACTGGGGATTCCAAAATTGGGATGGGAAATTCCAGGCAAAATACCGACAGCGAAAAATCCGGGACGCGAAATGCCGACAGCGAAAATCGCGGCAGTAGCGCTTTTTTCGCCAGATCTTCAGATGTTTTGACTTCCCGATCCCTTTAGAATGGGGGGAACTGTAGCTCAATCCGCTTTCCCATAATTAACTCCAGGTACTCGTGGAGTAGTAGGCTTTCCTAGTCGTTTCCCAGGGTACCTTCTCGTTCATCCGGGATACCAGTTGACCAGTTGACCCCCCGAGGAGCAAGTTTTCGTGCTGACCCCCTCTCGACCCTCCCTCTCAATTGGCACTTCAAAGAATCAAAGAAGAAGAGGAGGAGGAGGTGGGAGGAGAGCCGGCTCTACTCCTTGTCACTGTTCGGGCGGGAGGGGGGGGGTTGTCCGGTCGGTATAACCGGAAACTGCCCTCCCGGTTGGTTGGCTGAAGCGACACTCACATCGCACCGCCTCTAGGAATGAGCAGTTTTCCTGTAGGTTTTTGTGATTGGATTGGAGGGGTGGAATTCGGAGGCGATGAGGGTGATCGAAAATCGTTAGAAACATCGCTGAAAATGTCTCAAAAAATGACTGAAATCACGGAGAGGAGGGGAGAGGAGGGGAGAGGAGAGAAATAAGAGAGAAAATAGAGAGAAAAAGAGAGAAAGTGAGAAAGAGAGAGAGAGAGAGAGAGAGAGAGAGAGAGCGTGAGAGCCAGATAGAGGGAGAGAGAGCGAGCGAGAGAGCGAGAGAGAGAGACAGAGAATGAAGGTATGAGAGAGACATGAAAGAGATCCATATCTATACTATAAAGTTCGCAAAACATTAATCCCGCAAATTTAACAAAATCGAAGCCTCAAACGCCAGAAAAAAAAAATTTGCGTACCTTTCGACATTCAAAGTGCTAGTAGGAACGCTCTAGGTGGGAAGGAACTGGATGTGTGCACCTAGAGAGGGGAGTCTCCCCTCAAAAAACCCATAGGTGGGGGTGGATTTTGACAAAAGGCAGTTAGCGGACAGGGGGGATGGACAGCTGGTGGCAATTTCATACGCAGCCAACTGGAGATGGAGAGGGGCTGGATTCAAGCGTTCGAAGGAATTCAGGGAACTTCTCGAGGTCCTTGACTTGAAAATTGAGATGGATAGAGCGAGAGAGAAGGAGAGAGAGAGAGAGAGAGCGAAAGAGAAAAATATAGAGATAGAGAGAAAGCGAGAGATAGATAGATGGAGAGAAGAGGAAGAAAATGGAGGAAGAAATAGAGATAGAGAGAAATAAAGAAAGATGGAGCGATAGAGGTAGAGAGAAAAATTGCGCAAAGACGACTGGAGATCCTTGCAACACGGCCGATTGCCCTAAAATAGGTGTCTGTGTTCATTTCGCCGTCTCTCTCTCTCTCTCTCTCTCTCTCTCTCTCTTTCTCCCTCTATCTTTTAGGGAGACTGACCCCAATACCCTGTTGCTCCCTTAGATCCCCAGGGGGACATGGGTGAAATCCGCGCGTAAATCCTCCGGTAACCGCTCATTTATGTACTCACAGCGGGAGTTCCTGGTAGGAGAGAGAGCGCGAGCGAGAGAAAGATAGAGAGAGCTAGGGACAGAGAGCGAGCCAGGGATAGAGAAGAGGCATAGGAAAGGTAGCAGGGAGAGATTACGGCTAAACTTAGGTTTTGGCCTAGGGTAGGCTTAGGCTTAGCTTAGGCTTGGCTTAGGCTTAGCTTAGGCTTAGCGTAGGCTTAGCTTAGGTTTAGCTTAGGCTTCGGCTTAGACTTAGGCTTGGCTTGGGATTGGTTAGGCCCTGTTAGACTTAGGTTTAGGCTTAGAAGCTTCTGCTTTAGCTCCGCCTTTTTACTCTTATTGTTAGTGCATTTCCAGGGCGCAAAATATTTATGTAATATTTATTCCCGAGGCTAAGGGCATTGCCCTAGGGGGCTTTGTGCTGTGTTTTTTTCTGCCACCGCTTGGCGGTTGCCAGGTTGCGGCGCTAGGGACGCTAGGGGGGAGAAGGGCACCCGAAAACGATTTTCGGGGCCCGGCTTCCTGGAATTTTGCGGGCTTGTTTAAATTATGATTTTGAGGGTTTGATTTGAGCTTAGGCTTAAAAGCCGTTACTGTTTTCAGGCAGATGACGGAAACGCCATCTTCGAAGCGCTCAGTTCGGAAGAAGCCCAAAAATTGGACCGGCGGTGCAGGGGTGCCGAGTTATGCTCTGGCAGATACGAGAAGAGTTCGCATTTTTAAGAATGGAGACGTTAACCATCCGGGAGTTAGGGTAAGTAAGCTTGAGCTCGTGCTCAGGCATAGGCTTAGGCACAGGCTGAGGCTTAGGATTTGGCTTAGACTTAGACTTTGACTTAGGCTTGCCATAGACTAACAAAAAAGAAAGCATTTTAGATGGTAGTCAACCCTCGCCAAATCCGCGAAATGTCCGCCTTCCTCGACCTCGTCAACCAGAAGCTCCAAATGATCGCCGGCGCCCGGAGATTGTTTACAGTCGGTGGAAAGGAAGTGAAGCGGATCGATGCGTTACAAAATGATACGGTAAGCCTAGAAAACCCTGAAAAATGAGATAAAAAGATTTATTTGCGCATTTAATGGTCTAAAGCATTTTCAAAAAGCCATTTCTGGGTTTAGATAGCTTAAAAATACCCAATTAAAATCAATAAATCGAAAAATCATTGTTTATGCCTTTTTGCCATAGTAAAAGATTTTTTTTGATCTTTTCTAGGACTACGTCGCCTCGGCTAACCACTTCACCCCAATGGCCTATGGTCAAACTTTGACCCGATCGGCTTCCTCTTTTATCACGTCAGTGACGAGTCCGAGTGTAAGTTGTTTTGCTCGGAAAGTACCGTAATCTAGCTTGCCGCCCAAACCGCGCGTCCGTCTCGTTCTTCTGAACCCAGGGCCGCGAAGTCGACGGGCGAGAAGCGGAAGCGAGCGAAATCTCATGCGGTAGGCGATAACGAGACGGCGAGAGAGAGAGAGAGAGAGAGAGATAACGACAGCAAAGTTTCTCAAGAAACCCCAAAGTTTAGCCTCCCGGAACCGCGCCTGCCTCTACCGACCTGACGGTGCGTATCAAAAAACTCGTGAAAAATGGCGAAAAGTGAGAATTTAAAACGATAATTAATCCTTTTTTGAAGAAAACTCGAGAAAGCCTTCTCCTTCGGCGACAACGGGGAGTCGACGACGAAAAAGGTGAAGAAACGGGTGCAGAATGGGGTGGACTCCGTGAAGAAGACGGGCGGAGATTTGCATGAGGGAGGGAAGAAAGGTACGATAGCTTCTCTCTCTCACTCTCACTCCCTCTCTGCCTCTCTCTGGCTCTAAGTCTCTTAATGCTCATTCCAGTAGTCCGAAAAACGAAGAAAAAAGTCAAAGAAAATCTTGACGTGGTCATCGACAAGGTCCAGGATACGGCGGATGGTGCAAATGCTCATGTCGTTGGAGCAGCAGCGGCTGGTGGAGCGGCGATAGGTAAGCATTAGAAGAGACTCTCTAGAGAGTCTCTTCTCTCAAGAGAGTGATAGAGAGCAAGAGAGAGAGAGAGAGAAAGCGAGCTAGAAACAACTTTAACTTTCAGGAGCCACCGGTGCCGCGTTGAACCACACCGTCTCCGACGTCTTGTCCGATAAGGAGAATGATGACCATGCCCACAAGTAAGCTCTAAAATTTCAACACTTCTAACGGCATTCTTTAGGATCGACGATCATGCTCACGAAGTGGAGCACCATTCTGAGGTGGTGATCGACGAGGTCGCAGGCGGTGCTCCTTCGCATCCAGGCAGTCGGAGGCAATCGCTAGCTGCTCGTATGTTTTTTTTTTGTTTTAAAGCGGCGGTGTCTTTACAATTACCTCACTCACTCTCTTTCCCTCGATGTCTCTCTCTCCCGCTATCTCTCTCGCTCACGCTATCTCTAGCTATTACTCACTCTCGATACTTCATCTTTTCAGACTCGGTAAAATCTCATCATTCTGCCCACGGCTCTGGCGATGAACATGAACACGAGCATGAGCACGAGGGCGGTGATACCGAGCGAAGCAAGGGTAGGGTAATTTCATAAATTTAATTTGGTTATTTTTTTCAACTGCGGATTATCCTCCTTCCATTGGTCTCTCTCACCCACGATATCTCTCTCGCTCTCTCTCCCTCAGGCTCTTTACATCAAATTTCAGGATCCGACTCTTCCCGACGTACCCTCGTCCTCTCGCGTAATGGAAAGCCGGAGCACTAAGAAACTATAGCTCGATTTTTTTTCAGCATAAATAGTGGTTTCAAGGAATTCTATTGCAAGAACTTAATTATAATTCTTAATTTTAAATTTGTATACTTTGCCGGTCCCTCGGGCTTCCAAATTTTGCAGGAATTTTTTCAAGGCTATAGGGCAAATGGGGTGACTCGCCGATGCTCCTTGCTCGCTCGCTGCGGCTTTTCGAGCCGGTGGAAAGAGGTGTATTTCGGACTCGGACACGGGCGGCCAGCAGGAACATGATGAAATCTGAGACAGGGCAACGGTCACAACAGCTGGATCATGATCAGAAATGTGAGGAGAATGAAAGATCGCTTGGACCTGGCTTGGGCTTAGGCTAGACTTAGCTTGGCTTGGGCTTCGGTTTCACCTTTGGCTTCGGCTTCGGCTTAGGTTTAGGTTTAGTCTTAGGATTAGGCTTAGTCTTAGGCTTAGCCCTAGGGCTTAGAACTAGGCGTAGGCTTAGGCTTAGGGTTGAGCATGAGCTCTAATAGCATTAATTCTGATGGATCTTCGTGTTTTTCGACGTTTTTAATTTTTTCAAAGCCCCTTCCCCAGGTCCCAAACCTTCCTGACAGCAGGCTTTTGAGTCATCTGCAGGGCTACGTGTGCAAAGGGGCATTAAATTGGACTGTTTGAGCGTTGCGAAAGGGCGCGCGATGGTGGTGGACAGTCTCGGAACGGACAAAGAGGCGAGAGAGAGAGAGAGAGAGCGAGAGAGATAAATAGAATACGGGCCTGACGACTCACTACTCCTATAGCTGCTGTCATTTCCGATTGGTCACTGTACAAATAAGCAACGGGACGGAGATCGTACCACGAATTCAAGGGCCAATCTGATGTCTTAGAGCAAGAGGGTGAGAGAGAGAGAGAGAGAGAGAGAGCGAGAAAAAGCGAGAGAGTGAGAAAGAAAGAGCAATGATCAACTTTCGAGTCTCTTTAAAATCTTCTCATAAACAACATACGTTTCGAACTTATTCCATTGGAATGTGCTCCATTCCATTCCAATTTACGGTAAATCATCAAAAAAGAACGGTCTAGTGAATTTTGATGAGATAATCAACAAAAACAACTGCCGTCGACAAACAAAACCGTTTGAGAAGATCATAAATGGCAGAACTTGCAGGAGGATGAGAATTACTAGTCGCTCCTACGGACGGGAATTGAGCTTTAGGAATGCTGATTTTTGTAGATTTGCTTCGGAGGATAGTGAGTTGTGAGGGTGATGTTTGAGCATGAGAGAAGGGAATAGAGAAAGAGGGCGAGAGAGGGAGAGATATTGAGAGCGAAAGAGAGACGAGTTAAATGGATTTTCGACTGTTTATTACAGTTTTGCCGGTAAGTTTTCCATATTTCTTTGCGGCTGCCGCTCTCATTCTCGCTCTCCTGCTCTAAGCCTATATCACACACACTCTCTCTCTCTCTCTCTCACTCTCGCTCTCTCTTTCTCTATGTCGCTCTCTCGCACATGCCTGTAGATTTATTTCTACTTTTTCCGGAATTTCCCAACGTCCCTTACCCATTTTCAACATTTTTAGTTCCACTCTATTCCCGGCCAGACAAAACACTCGCCTCCCGAAGATCATCTACGCATCGTCTAGCTAAAGAAATAGGCGCTGAGAATGAGAAACACGCATAGGGAGACTGAGGGGATAATCCCCGGCCAATACAGATGCCGAATCGAGAACCCACGCTTCAGAATGGCACTCCATTCCGATACTCGCGACGGTGACGCTGAGAAAGTTTGAAATGTCGTGTTTTTAAAAGTCTGGCAAACAGCGCGTAGAAGTGATGATCGGCCATAGACTAAATCGTGATAAATAGTAAGATTTTTGGATTAAAGGGTTTGTGAAGTCAAGGTTCTGAAAATTAAGGTGCCTTAAGCTTAAGCTTGGCTTGAGAAAAAGAAACATTTGTTTGCACGATTTTAATCGATTCAAAGGGGTTAGAGAGGCAAAGCTCTGGATACCGTAAGCCGATCGTAAAACCTACTTTAGGTGATTTACGGCAAAATTGTACACTTTTTACACCCGCGGTCGCTTTCACTCTCTCCCGCTCTCTCTCACTCTCTCACTCTCTCTCTCACTTTCTCTCTCTCATCCTCTCTCGCTCTCCCTCCCCTCTCCCTCTCCTTCTCTCGCTCTACGTGTCTCTCTTTCTCTCGCTCTTTCGCTCTCTCTCCTGAACTCCATCCGTTTCTTGATCATGTTCCGTCATGGTCCAGATGACATCCCAAGTTCATTGAATTCACTTGTTATTTTGTAATTCTGAGCCTCAATTTTTGTCAGCCGACAAACAAGCGCATACACTTTACTTTTTTAATTAATTACGCGATGAAATTCAGGTCGCCAAAAAGTCATCTAAATAAATTTTCAGCTTTTGCCTCAATTTTCTCGATCTCTGGAATATCAGCCCTCAGAATTTCATCACAAAACAATTCGTGAGGGCTTCGAAGAGTTGGCATCATTTCCTGCAGAGATAGGGGGCCGTTTTTGGAATCACCGGTTATCAAAATGAGGGTCAGGTGGCGGGGGAGCTTATAGTTAGCAGCCGGTTTCGTATGTGAACTGTTCTTTGGAAGGTTAGCATTGGGTGAGGCTTTATTGGTCATTGGAGCATACGATAAGGGAAAGAGAGCGAGAGAGGGAGAGAGAGGGATGGAGTGAGAAGAAGCGCGAGAGAGAGCGAGAGAGTGGGAGAGAACGAGTGAGAGAGTGAGAGAGCCGGTTAGCTAGTTTTTTAAAATGAAGCTTACGCTTGATCGACTTAGATAGCTTTCTCAAGCTTCTGGATTGGCTAAAGCGTAGCCTACGCTTAGCTTCGGCTTGGCTTTCGCTGAAGATGTGCTTAGCTTGAGTTTATTGAAAATATTGAGAAAGAAGAAGCCAAATTTGGTCCAGGCTTGGCTTAGGCTTTTAGACTTGGGTCTATGCCGGATAAGCCTAGGCTTTGGCTTAGCTGGGGTGCAGTTCTAGGCTAAGGCGGGCTTGGGCTTCTGCATGAATAATTTTCTACTTTGGTTCTCGACCCCTCAAAACTTGAACCAACCCAACCGCAGCCCTTCTTCCGGTCTTGTTGCCCTCTGTACATTTCCTCAGTTACGTAGCGCACCGTGTCGTAATCAAAACAGGTGCATTTCGTCGCCTAATTGGTTGCAATTCAAGCAAAAAACTATCGGGGGTTTTCAGGTTCGGCCGAACAACAGTAAATAATTGAAAGCGGCGACGCTGAATGTCTAATGGCGTCGGGGGGACTGGTGAACTTTGGCGAGGTCTACGGTAGAGGGGGCAGGAAATGAACAAATGTTTCGGATACGCTTAGGCTTAGCTTAGGCCTAGCTGAGGCTTAGCGTGATCTGGGCTTAGGCTCAGCCTTAGGCTGCAAATCCCCTTCTCACAAAACTTACCCTAACTTTCCCAAAAACCCGCCAATCCGTCTCCTTCCGCAATGACGGCACTTTTTCAGTGTGCTAGACTCCAAATAATCCGGATCAGGACTTTTCCAAGATCGCCGGATTTCCGGATTTTGACCTTTCTGCCCGGATAGGTTTGAAAAGTCGAGTTTTTGTGCCGGATTGGGGAAACGCGAAAAACGTGGATTTGGTTCCGGTTTGCGACTAGGGCAAAAATAAACACTTTGGCCTTCTGCAAAATTGTTTTCGGAACTTTGGGAATTTCTTGGAATCTGGGCTTCCTCTGCGGTGATCAGCATCAGATTAGCCGCCTAACCTGAGAGACCAATGTAGAAAAATCAAGAATTCATCACCAGTCCTGATTCTTCAGCACTTTTTTCCTTAATCCGCATCAAACCAATGAATTCTTTTTTGTGCGGCCAGGTGGCCCAGGGCCAAGGACAAAGCATGGAATCAGAGCACAAAGTGACAGGAAGAGAGAGAGAGAGAGAGAGAGAGAGAGAGAGAGAGATACTTTATATTTGTTTCCTCCTCGTCCCTCAAATCATTTTTGACCGTCTCCAGCCCATGCCAGGCTTTTGTCGACGCGCTTGTTATTATTTTACGTGTCGAGGCTGGCGAGTCTCGACCCAGAAAAACAACTAACAATCGGGGGCTGGCTGGCTCTGAAGCGGACTAGATTTCGTGGAAAGCCCCGGGCAAAAATCACGTCCAAGAAACAGCCTATCGCCCTTGAAAATCGGGTTCGGATGGACTGAAAACAGAACCGAGTATCAAAGTATCAACTTGGAAACCAGAAATTAGGCTCAGGTTAGGCTTGGACTTAGGCTTAGGCTTAGGCTTAGGGTTAGGCTTCAGCTTACGCTTAGGCTTCGGCATAGACTTACACTTACACTTACGCATCGGCCTGCTTAGGCTTGGGCTTAAGCGTGGCTTGGCTTAAGTTTAACGAGCTCTAAATTGTGCGTAGATTTTCTGCTGGCTTCCATACAAAAAAACTCTGAAAACGACTGAAAATTGTAATCTACAGTACCCTTTTATGACTTCTGACTCATGCGGAACCCCGGGGGCAAAGTACGAGACGCTCCGCTGGCTCCATTTCCGCTCATCAAAAACTGTTATTGCATTTTGACCCCCAGGGAAGCTGGAACAGTCCGTTACGCGCCTATCCACATCCCAGGCTACAGGCTACAAAGTGCGCACTAGCTGAATCGGCCATGGGTGCAAAGTGTATTGCGGCGAGACGGATGATTTTTTGGAAACTTATTTTGTAGTTTTTTGTAGTTTACCGTATGTGCTATTGTAGGGGTTACTGTAGAAACTCAGAAAGTCATCCAAAGTATATTTGTATTTTTTGGCTTGTTTTTGCAATTTTTTTAATGTTATTGGGGCATGGTATGTCTCTATAAGTTTCTTTAGCTTTTTACGATTAATTTAAGGCCTCCAAATCAAAATACGATTTTTAAAGGATTTGTTCAATATTTGTGGTCATTTTGGGTACTGTAGCTTTAAGTTCAGCTTCCAATTTATTTGAAAACTTAAAATTAGTAAAAGATTGGTAAAAAATGTA